TGATTTGCAATGCTGGTGGTTTTTTTCTGTGCTGCATTAAAAGTGGTCCAAGACCTGTCAAACTCATCCTCCTGGGCACTCAGCACATCACACAGAGGCCACAGCTTACTGGTCTCAGCCTAAAGGCAACATGGGCTCCCTAGAGAAGACAAAATCCCTGTCACTTGCTTTGCTGAGCTGCAATCCACTCTGTTCAGCAAGGCTTTTCTGGGCTAAAATTAGACCAAAATCACAGTCCTTGTTCTAGCAATACTGGTCCTTCAGTGGCTACAGCAGGGAAACACCGGGCACTGGTTTCACTGCCTCGGCAGGACAGTAGCTCTGGCTGGGAGTGTAGCCTTGCTGCTAATGGCTTGGCCACTGCCTGGCAATTGCCTTCCATGTGTGGGTTTGGAGCAGAAGCTACCACATCACATCACCTTCTGCTTGTGTTTCCAGCAGCCCTCTCCCATCCTAGCTCAATATCTTTGTATGTGACTAGGAGTTGAGCTACTGAGCTCTAGCTCAGCGCCCCAGATCAACTGCCAGCTTCCTAAAACTGAGCAGCATTCCAGACCTGCATCTCCTGTCTGCCAGTCCAGTCTGGTGTGAGGGATCTCTTAGATGACTCAAGAAATCCCTAGACCAGAGAGTCTGCACTGACCCCACGGAGGAAGCTGTGGGCATGCTGCTGTCATGCACCAGCTCCTGCAGAGCTGTGCAGCTGTGGTGTTTGGGGTGATGAAACCAGCCACACTCCTGTTGACATTTCCTTTCCAGGTGTTGCAAGAGGTTTGTCTTATACGCCTCCCCAGGGAACATCGTCCCACAGACTTCAAGCTCAGGATTAAACAGACAGAGGAGGGGAAGGAACCATGTTCCAGGCTGCAGGACCTGCCAGCCCACCCCCAACTCATGTACGTAGCATCCCTTGCGGTTTGTATGGGAATTTCAAATCGTGTTTTGTTTCTCAGGGATGGAGGGTTGTGTACAGAAGCTGTATTCCGGACCTGACATTTTAGGGTGATCAAAGGCACAGTCACTGCTACTCAAACAACATAACTGGGGATAGGAATGTTCCAGCAGAAGGTGCTGTTTGCTGAGTACATTGCAACGCCAGCGTCCAGGCTCTGGTCCATACAGAGCTGCTCACCCTGCTCTTGTCTTGAGTTGCGTCTATTTGTTTGTGTTTCCATGGCTTTCTGTGATCACAATTGAGAGCATGCAAGCTGCTTAGGACTGGACTGATTGGAGATGGAAAAACATAAAGGCTCAAGAACATCTCCTGCTGGGACAGGATATGGCCCTTCCCCGAGGGAGGATATATCAGATATGAAATAGATAGTGTGCCTGATCGGAGCCAGAAGGCTGCCGAGAAGTGACGAGCAACGGTGGATTGCCTGTAGCCTTGGGAACGGATGTATTCCAGCTCCAAAGAGGCAGCGTTTTCCTTAGCTCTGGTCAGCTGAGCCTGGAAACCATCTATTAAATCCTAACCCCAGGAGAGCACCTGCGGTTGTTTTACCAGTGCCGAGGGATGCAACTGGTTTTACACAGCCTGAGTGTCCTCGCTGCCCATGTCCCGCTATTGACTTTGGCTTACTCCTCCAGCCTTGTGGGAGTGAGAGAAAAATCACGTCCCTGACCCCAGTCAATGAGAGCAGCTGGGAAACGTCTGAAGAGGCAGCTCAGCGAAGTGAGAGTTTCCTGTGCGTCTCTTAGACAAACTGTTTCCAAAAATACAAAGGAGAAACGATGGGGAAGGACAAGGCAGGAGGAACGGGGATGGAAGATCAGCCTGGGGGCAAAGAGAAAGGGCAGGCTGGCCAGGCAGAGCCAAACCAGCAGCAAGAGGCAGGACAAGGAGGCAGTGGGGTGATGTTCTGGGGTCACACTGCTCAGCCTTGGGAGCAAACAGCACAGAGGGTGAGCCAGTCTGGGGTAAAACAGTCCTGGCCAGTCCACTGTGCTAAAAGTATATTCACCCCTTTAATCCTGACTGTTTGAAAGAAGAAAGGGGCATTTTCATCAGTGCAAAGGCAGAGTAAAATCCTTGCAGGTGGCTGACTGGTACCCAGTGGGTGCCTGTGCAAACATCCAGCTTGGGGAGGGGGCAGGACTGCAGGGCTGCTCAGTGGGGCAAGCAAAGGGGAGGAGAGGGAGGTGATCTGGGAGGAGTTGTTACAGCTGCAGAGGGGAGAGCGTGCACTGAGACACTGCTCTGCCACCCTGGGGCAGAGCTACAGGCACCTCAGTGTTTGGATCGCTCTGCCCTGTTGCAGTTTCAGGGTCTGAGTAACATCTGCCCCCACCAAGGCGCAGAACACCACGGAGCATATCTTCAGCTCTGCCCCCCGCCCATCCTCCACGCCAAGCCTGCAGGGACTCGAAGGCTTTTCTGTCTCATCTACAGCGCAGGCGTTTCCTGTGCAGCGCAGCAGCGCGACGGGCTGATAACGGGGCGAGCGGAGGAACTCAGGAACAAAACATCCGCTGAGGGGAACCAGCACAGCGCGCTCCGTGAGAGCAAGGGGCACCCCAGTTATACCCCAGAGGAACTGGCAGTCTTATCACCTCCCAGCTGCAGGCAAAGACCCACAGTGGCAGCGTTGCTAGAGCCTTGTGCACCTCCAGCAAGAGAAGGTTAATTATCACTCTCCAGCCCTGTGGGGTAAAGTGTTGGCTAGAAGGAGCATGAGCAGCATCTACACCAAAGCAGAGCTGCTGTTAGTAGGTGTCAGTGCAGGTCACAGCAAGAGTTTTGCCAAGAGCTTGTGCTTCAGCAGCTTTGCAAAGCCCTTTCCCGCTCTTTGCCTGCGTCAGGTCCAAACTGTACCCCAGGGATGTGGAAGCAGGGCTTCCCTGCTCTGCTGTTGGTATTCCTGGGAGGAAATGCCAACCTTCTCGGGTCCAAGACACGCGTGGTGCCTGCACTGGGTGGCCAAGGGCAGTAACTGATGTCTGCAGAGGGTGAGAGCTGCTCATCACTGGCTGCTGGGAGCCAGGGAGGGTTGTCACCCTGGGGCTGGGCTCTGCAGCGCCTATGCTGTGACATCTCCTGGATCGGTGCTTGGGTGCTGCCACCACAAAAGAGGTCAGCTAGACCTCAGCCATGGAAGAAGCAAAGCCATGACACTCTCCTATGTCTGAGAGAGGCCTCAGTGAGCAGTGCTGGATGAGAGCTGGCTGCTCTGCCCCCAGGGCCCCAGCCAAGTCCCACAGCCTCCTGGTGCCTAGTTCCCTCTCTGCAATGTGTAAATGGCTTTTTTTTTTTTAATTTTCCTCTCTTCCTTCTCCTCTCTTTGGGAATAGCACCACAGTGCAGGAAGTCACTCGCACCCAAGGACCTGATGGGGGTCATGGCCTCTGGGCAAGTGAGTTCAAATGGTCATCGTGTGCCCGTGACAGCCAGGCAGAGGCTGCTGGCGAGCCCCGAGGTCCTGCAGCTCAGCTGCCTGCACCGACCCTCTGCTGCTCCTCCTTAAGCACAACTCAGCGCCAGGCTTGTCAATCCAGGCTCTCATTTTGATTTCTTCTTCCCTTCTTAGGAGGCAAAGAACAACTCAGGAGGCAGCACGGTGCAGCGCTCCAAGGTACCCGCAATTTTACCACATCCTACTGATTCATGGCGAGGGGGGAAGGACTGACAGCCTGAGGCCCAGCATCGGTGGAACGGTACAGGGAGGGCGAGGGGAGATGGGGCTGTTTCATGCCAACCCGTGCTCCAGCAAACGGCAGCATGGATGGATGTTAGGGAAGAGGGCTGTGGTGGGAGCCAGGCACAGGACCCCCCAAACCCCTTCCTCAATCTCTCTCCCTTTGGTGTCCCCTTGCCCAGTCCTTCAGCCTGAAGGCACAAGTGAAGGAGATGTGCACTGCCTGCCAGAAAACCGTCTATCCCATGGAGCGGCTGGTGGCAGATAAATTTGTCTTCCACAACGCCTGCTTCTGCTGCAAGCACTGCCACACCAAGCTCAGGTGAGCGGGGCCGGGACGACATCGAGGCGGGTGGGTGTCACTGCGGCTCTGCATAGCCTGGGGGCGGGAGGCCCTTCCAAACAGCACACACCCCCACCCATCGCAGCCCCTCTCCTTGTCAGGTAGCTAAAGACCCCCAGCCCACTCATCACAGCAAAAAAAAAATGGCTGATCTGTCCACCTGGTCCCAAGTCTCAGCTAAATCCCACCTGGTATGGAAGAAGAGCTTTTTTTCCCCTCAAGAGCAGCCCCAAGGTAACACGGAGCTGAGCCAGAGTTTCCTCCTAGATGACACAGAGCCAAGGCTGAGCTGCCCTGTGGGACCCCCCCCTACTTTACAGACCTTTAATGCTGCTCACAGCAGCCCTTGAGCTGGCTGGAGGGAGGAGTTGGCCCTTTCTAAGGGTCTCCTCCTGCATGTTCCCTCCTCCTTCCTCCCCTGCCCCGGTGTCCCCAAGCCTCACACGCTCCCTGCCACCCTGCAGCTGAGTCCCCACGCCCAGCTAACCCTGCCCTACTTCCCCAGCCTGGGCAGCTACGCGGCACTCCACGGGGAATTCTACTGCAAGCCCCACTTCCAGCAGCTCTTCAAGAGTAAAGGCAACTACGACGAGGGCTTTGGGCGCAAGCAGCACAAGGAGCTGTGGGTGCACAAGGAAGTGGAGAGCGGGACCAAGTCGGCGTGAGCGGGGCCAGCCCACCTTTCCCTGGAGCCCAGCAGAGACTGCACGGAGCAGTGCTGAGCCGGGGGCTAACTGAGCTGATGTAAAGCAAAAGGGACCCTGTGAGCAGTGAGGGAGGCAGCCCAGCCCTCTTTGGAGGATGCTTAGAGGGATCCTACAGGCCATAAGGACAGGGCAGAGGTAACCGGGGTAGAGCCCCCAGACCTGAAGCACTCTGCAAGCCCCTCTCCCTGATGAGATCAGACCAGAAGCACTTGACCCCATGGGAAGCCCAGCCCCATTCACAAGTTTCAGGCCTGCCACCATGGAAAAGGAGATGATTTGGGGGCTTAACCTAGACTGTAAGTCACAGCAGAGCACCCAGCTCCTGCCACACCAATCCTGCCTTGCTGGGGCTCTGAATAAGGAGGGTCCTTGGTTTACATCAGCTCAGTTCAGCTGGGATTGTTCAGCCTTAAGGATGTTGCCCTGCGACTGTTTAACAGTGTCTCTCTTTTTTATATTTGCCTTTGATTGGTACGTTCTGCGCTGGAGCCTGGCACGGCAGCTTCATGCGTGACACTGCGCCATGCGCCCTTTTATTTTTGTAATACAAGGTTTCCGAGCCTTCGCTGTCTTGTCCTGTGTTCCCAGGGGCCTGGGGAGGTGGGAGCAGTGGTCAGGTCTGCCAGTTACTGCCCAGTTACTGCGGAAAGAGTCTCTGCTCATGCAGGATCAGCTGAGGCAGACTGGCCCTTTGGGGACTGAACCCAGGATTTCAAATTGCATGTCAGCATTACAGAATCCCAGAATCCTCTGGGTTGGAAAAGCCCTTGAAGCTCCTCCAGCCCAACCATGACCCTCACCCTGACCCTTCCCAACTCCCCCAGATCCCTCAGCGCTGGCTCAGCCCGACTCTTCAACCCCCCCAGGGATCCCGGGGACTCCCCCCTGCCCTGGGCAGCCCATTCCAACGCCCAACAGCCCCTTCTGCACAGAAATCCTTCCTCAGAGCCCGCCTGACCCTGCCCTGGGCAGCTTGAGGCCATTCCCTCGGGGCCTGGCGCTGGGGCCTTGGCTCCAGAGACTCATCCCCCCTCTCTGCCCCCTCCTGGCAGGGAGTTGCCGAGGGCCAGGAGGTCTCCCCTCAGCCTCCTCTGCTCCAGACTGAACCCCCCCAGTTCCCCCAGCCGCTCCCCAGCAGACCTGTGCTCCAGACCCTGCCCCAGCTCCGTTGCCCTTCTCTGGCCACGCTCGAGTCATTCAATGGCCTTTTTGGGGTGAGGGGCCCAAAACTGAACCCACTCAGCGAGAGGCGGCCTCCCCAGTGCCGAGCCCAGGGCTCAGATCCCTTCCCTGTCCCTGTGGCCACGCCAGTGCTGACACAAGCCAGGATGCCGTTGCCCTCCTCGGCCCCCTGGGCACACTGCTGGCTCCTGTTCAGCCGTCTATCGATCAACCCCCCCCCAGATCACTCTCTGACTTCTCTTCTGAACGGCCCTGTGAGCTACACACCCAGCTGTAACCACACACCAGCTCCCACACGGAGCCCAGACCACCCTCAAAGGGAAATCACCATCCTGTGAATTAGATCTACCCTGTTGCTCCGCATACATTTTGTGGCTTACTCGCTTTCCCCTCCCTATCAATAAACCTTGTGCCCTGCCTCCGCGAGCAGGCACTGGCTCAATTCCCCCTGCAGCCAGCGTGGTGGGCAGGACGGGCAGCAGAGCTGGGCTGGCTGCTGCAGCACAGGCTCTGGTTTGGATCAACCCCATCTGCCAAGCTGTGACATTTGGACAGCACAGTCCATACAAATGAATGAGTCCAACAAGACCTGCGAGGCTGGTGAGCCTAATGCAGGGAAATCAGGTCAATCTGTTTTTTATTATTATTTACCTCCTTCCTTCACACACAATTTGCAAGACTAGTTTGAAAGTGTAAGCATTCTGGAACGCCACATCTTTCAAACGCTACAGGAATTAGGCTTTTCAGAGCCCACACAGCTGAGCAACAGCCTTTGATATCAACAGCATGAGCCCCTAATTCCATCACTGACTGATAACATCAGCTCCCACTGAGCACGTCCCGTCTGGGAGAATCCAGACACAGCCGTGAAAACAGGAGCTAAGGATTGAAGAGGGGAAAAAGATGGGTATGGGTAGTCCATAGGAGTTGCAGGAAGAAGAGATGGTCTGTACAGAGATGAGCTCTTAAGCCAGGCACTGTCCTCCCTCAGTAAAAGTCCTCCGGGGACTCAGGGTGTGCACCAGCAGCCAGGCAGCATCTCCACCACTCTCCTTTGTGGGCAAAGCTGGCTGCCCTCACACCTCATCTCAGGGAAGATACATGCCGGATGACCTCAGGAGCCTGATGTCCCTCCTGTTGGACAGGTTATTTCTCCTTTTTAGTGAGGGGCTTTCTAAAGGGCAGGTCTGTCAGCACTACTGGGTGGGGACTGCTTACAGGGACCCTGGTGAGGCTCCGAGAGAGTTTGTCTGACCAAGTGCTTTAACCAGCCCCATCACGCAGGTGCTGCCGACTCCTCCTCACACCAACATGCAGGCTGCAGGTTTGCACCGTGACAAAAGCAGCTTCCTGAGCCGCCCTGCAGCAGTCATAAACCAGAAACCAAGCGCTCGCTGCTCTGCGGCGAGGGTCTTGTGATGCTGTTCGGGTTGCAGCCCCTTCCTTCCTCAGGTCAGCTTAGAAAACGAAAGCAGACTCCTCGGTTTCTCTTCCTGTTTCTTGCTGGCCTCACTTCCCAGTTCCCTCACCTCGGCAGGCTGCTGCTCTTTCCTGCACAGTGGGGCAATCCGATATAAAGCATTTTTAACTATACCAGATGATTTGGGGGTAGGGGAGGCAGAAAAAACTGCCCAGCTTTTAAGTGTTGGGCTTTCAGTTAAAAAGAGAACATTAAGAACGAAGAAAAATGATGATCCATTTCTTTGCTCCCTCCCAAAAATTGAAAATTTGGGGTTTCATCTAAAGACAGTAGCACTCATCATTCTCTGCCTACCCCTTCTCATACGGGCACAGCAAACTCTCGCTGATGGAGCAGAATCGGAGGGAGCACGGGCAAGCACAAGAAATGTGAGATCTTCAGCCTGCTATGAGATTGTGTCCTGATACTGAGAGCAGGAGCCAGCCACCAGGGTATATATTCCTGAAACAGGCTGCAGCAACCTGACCCAGGCACCACAGTTCCAGGGGAGAGAAGTGAAATCTGATGAGCATCAGATTCACAGAGGAGGAGAGAGACGTTCGATACGGCTGCGATTCACCGAATGGCTGCTGCACACAAAGCAGCCAACAGCAAAATCCTGCTTCCCTGATTAACATGCCAGACTCTGCAGGCAGGGAAACCCTAGTGGTAACACACAGAGGAAGATGTTATAAACGCTTTGAGCTTATCTCATCTGCCTGATATATTTCAAAGGTGGTGCACTGCACGAGTGACAGGGCACGCTTGCCCAGGGGGTACCAGAAGCAGCAGCACTATAGAAACCCCAGCTTAAAATGTCTCCAACTGTGGGGTGTCTGTAAAACAGATTAAAAAAAAATAAAATCAAAGCCCCAAACACTGTCTCTGTCCCCAACATTTAGCTAAAATCCAGCTGATTTATGATGAGAGCTAGTCTCACTCCACTGGGACTGGAACCCTCCTTTAGGAATCACCCACACCCTTAGCATACCTTTTGGGCAACATACGCAAAAATTCCGTTTCTGAGCAGACACAGTGACTTCTTACTGCAACACCCCCTCTTCAAATCTCCATCTTTAAACACAAGGGCTGTCTCTTCTCGTTCCAGCTGCCAGCAGCCTCCCTTGACCGGTAGTCTAAGCTAGCAATCTGTATGTATGGTGTTAACAGGATTCAGGATGTTCAGACCCCACAGCTGGGGTAAGATTTAACCATGTCAATACCCATGAAAAGAAGAAAGACCACAGGTTCTCAGCATATATAGCTTTCTATTTGGAATTTCTGAGAGGCCAGAAGCCAGGCATCAACTCTGAGTGGTGGGGGGATGCATTCTGCACTCCCCCTGGTGAGGCTGAGCCGCACTGCAGAGCGGCACCACACCGGGGCAGCCCACGCCAGCCGGGGACTGCGATGGTTCAGTGTGACTCGGAGACAGAAGCTGTCCAGACAGCTGGGTTCAGAGAGGAGCCTGCAGCATCTGGCAAGCAAAACAAGAGCTAGGGACATAGATACTGCCTGCAGCCTACTCGAGGATGCTGCACAGAGCTTGCATTCAGTTGACATGAGCTACTTAAAGCTCCGTTCAGGTCATGACCTGGTCCCTGCTGCGGCTTCTTTCTGCTGCTCCAGCACAGCGAAAGCAGAGCAGCAGCTCCATAGGAAAATAACCCCAGCAGAGGAGCCAGAGAAGCAGCAGAAGTTGCAGGCAAAGCAGAACATGCTACAGCTCTCTTGGGCTCCAAGACGATGCAGTGAGAGCTCAAGAACAGCAGCTTTAACAGCAGCACACGGGCTGTTCCAGGGTCTATCGATGACTGCTGCAACACTAAAACTGGCCTTTAATCTGCGGCACAGAGAATGGCACACTGCCACCTGCACTTCCTCTCCTCCAAAGCACAGATCTGGTCTTGCCACTGAAGAAACAATATGACCGTCGAGCAACAAAAACCCTTTATTTGTATTACACACAGCACAACTTTCTTTTGCGTTTCCACGCAAGCAGGAGGCTTCTGTTACCAACCTGCCTTTTAGCTCAAGAAATGACATTTTCCAGAGCCTAAAAATTCAAGCCAATAGATTCACGTAATAAAAACTGGGGGGAAAAAAAAATCAGTAAGAATCCATATACATCCATACCATCCAGATGTCCAGTTTTGGACAAGATACAGAGCACTAGGCAGAGATCAACACCAGAACAAGTGACATGACAGCTAACCATGCCAGCATTTCCTGGATATAATGCAATACACCCACACCCAAGCAATATTAAATCCAGAAGACATTGTTCCTAGTTTAGACTTCACTGTCCTGATAGAAAGAGCCACAGCAGTGTAGTATAGCCAACCTCTTTAGAGATTTTAAATCGTATTTGCTTTAGAACTGGATTTAAAGAAACATACCTAAAGTCACCTTCCCCTGAGCCACACACTATGCGCAGATTACCAGAAACAAGAGGCCGCAGAGGTTTTTAGCTGCATTTCTTTTGTGTGTTGGTCAGTGGTTTGTGCCTGATCATTTCTACCTTCAACCCAAGCCTCCAGACATTTTCCTCTCCCAGCCCCTGCTCAACCACCACCTACAAACAGGGCATGGTGAAGATTCAAGTCAGGACCACACACTCCATTTTTATGGAAAGCAGAATTACTATAGAGTTACTTTTGAGAGGGGCGAGTAGGAGGGGAGTCCAGGAGAAAACATGCCATCATACAAACCTAAGAGGTGACTCTCATGTTCACAAAGCAAATGTTACCACTGAACATGCCAAGTGGAAAGGAGAAAGGCCTCAAGCTCTGGGAAGGACCTCCTCAAGTAAAGGTAACTAAGTTTAAATTCCTCCCTCAGCAAAGGCAGGATTTTCAGGTTCTAACACACACAAGGAGGGTGTCAGGAAGCAGCGGGAGGTGGTTATTTCTAGTTTCACGAGACATTTTTTTTTGTTCTGGGACAACTTCAGTTGTCTGGTTCTCATCTGTTCTGGAATAGCACAAAAGTGCCACGCATGTACTTGTTTCATGTGCAGGGGGTTCTATTGCATCAGCTTGTTAACTCATTTATTCTTATTTGTTCATATTTTACATTAACAAATATTTCAGTTTTTAATTGACATAGCAACTAGCTATACCATGGCCTGGGAAAAGGCAACTACAGGGAAGGTTGTGGTCAGGGCCCGGGGAGGCCGGCATCTCAGGGGACCATGATGGCATTCAAAGCACTGCTGAAGTGACTGCGACACCGAAGACTAGGAGCTGAGTAAACAGACAGAGCCGTACCAGGGAAAAAAATAAAAAGCGTTTCAGCAAGTAGTGTAGATGAATTTTATACGGACTATTTCTGTCCTTTCCTAAGATAGTATGCTGGAAAAAAAATTATAAAGCTTGAAAATATTTGGAAATGTGGTTACTCGTTCCCTTGCCCTACCCTGGGACAGCGAAGCTTATCCTGTCCCAAATCACTGGTACGCTCAATGTGAGACTAACCAGTTTCCTCCACTTCTGCTGGGAGCTTATGTTCTCTCACATTTGTCTGAACTCCAGAGGCCTTATGTCTCCAGATTTTTGCTTTCTAAAATGTCTGGACAACACATTCGGTGGAGAAACAATTCAGGAGCCTTCAACTGTTACCAGTTATTTAAATATATTTTCAAGGAACCTGAGCTACACCAGCTAGAGTGGAAGTTCCCCACATAGCAAGCTACTCTGGGGTATTTCCTAGACAGTTCCCAGCTAAAGCAAAACACAGTAGGGAATCAGACATTATCATACTACCCATCTCCTCCTGGTCTCGTTACCAGCTGCCTTTTCCCCACTTGATGAAGATCTACCCCATTAATCCACCTTGATGAATCAAGAACATTTACAGACCAAGGCCTGGAGTAAAGAACTCACCACAGCAAAATCCAAATGCAAACCTCAGCTCCTGCTCTCCATCAGTACAATCTCCACATGAAGAGCCAATAAACCAGTCCAGCTACTCTCCTGCAAGGTAAAATGAAGATGTTGCTATTTTTTACACACTAACAAGAAGGACAGAGCCATTCTACCTCTCTCTGAAGAGTGAAAATGGATGAACGTGACCTTCCTCAGAGGCAGCCTTGTAGAGGACACACACTTACCTGACCTAAGAAGCAATGCTTCACAAATAGGACACTTCTCCATCTGTCCCAAAGAATAAATCCCTGAAAGGAAAAATTTCCTCCTTCAGTTAAGGTCCTTGGTTAGAAGGAAAACTAGTTAATTGTCTTACTCACTTATCCTGAGGTACCACTTACCCAGGAAGTAAGAAACACTGTATTGCAAACAACCACCAAAAAGGCTTTCATATAAATGATAATTTTATTGTAAATAAAACGATACATTGGCCTGGCTTTGCACTGCAAGCCCCCGGTCGGTATATATAGACTACTGGTTCAAGGTCTTCTGCACAATCCAGGTTAAAGCAACTTCTCCCTGCTCTGCACAGTTTCTTTCAGACAGGTATTGACAGACAATAAAGTCCATTTCCTCATTTCTGAACTGCCCCCTAGGCACATTTACCTTTTCTAACTGGGAGATTCAGAGCTGCTCAGTGAGATTTGCACCTAAACAAGGCTGGGGTTTAAAGATCTGAAGCCCAAACACTATTAAACCACAGAGGACACCTCTTTTTTTTCTGAAAATGAAAGACAGACTGAACACTCCCAGCTCCAAGGGAAGGTACCAAGGTGACAGCCACAGGACTGTACATATTCAAATATATGAAACCTTTCCATTCAGCAGCTATTAACTTAAACACCAATTACTGTGCTCTCATTCAGCCTCCCTGTACAGCTCTAAGTATCTGACTTTTGCCTACCAGAGAAAATGTGTACAGCAAGGATGTATGTATTTACTAAGGTTTCACAAGTTATCCTGGCTCACTGGCACATGGAAATAACATGTGTCACCTGAGCAGGTACCAATTTCCCTCTTGGGCTATTTGGTTTTGTAACTAATGGCAATGGGAACTGTTTGGAGCATCTTCAAGTCCTTTGGAATACTATTCCAAAAATATGAAAACAGAAAATCCAAATTGCTGCAACCTACCGCCACTAGAATAGGCAAAGATCAGATTTACTGGAGAACAAGCAAATAACCTGGAATGCACAGAATCGTCACACCAAGACCAAAATGCCAAGAGTTTGTTTCCTAACAAGCTCAGGGACAGCCAAATCCCCCATTCCCCCAAGTTCTCTGATGGGAATATCAGATTTCTTCCTGCTGTTTCCGGCTTATAGGAACTCCCATAAGGTATTTTTCTTCAAACAGAATATTCTCAATTTCTGCAGCACCTTCCATCAAGGATCCCAATACTCAATATTCACTATATATCCCTCCCTGGAAGGAACAGCAGAAAACACAACATGACATTTGGAATGGACACAATAGCTTATTGTTAGCCTGGCACTCCCTCCTCCACTCTCCCCTAAATGAGTTTATCCCCATTTTTTTTCCAATTCTGCCAGGACAAAGAGGCCAGCTGTAATTCAATTTAGAAGTATAATTACATTTATGTCCACTTGAAACTTTTTTGCTGCCAGGGCCATGTTAAGAGACTGTAGTATAAGTATCGGCCCCAAACTTATTCACCGCAGCAGTGGACTTGGGAATCCAGATCTTCCTTTTCCATAATCAAGAGGGCTGTGAGGAAACAAAGAACACATTTTGGCTTGGCTCTACTCATTATAAACCATCAGCAAATTCTCTGCAAAACCAGCTGCTTTTTTTCCTTTTTAAATTCATAAAGGCGTCAAATTTATTTCCCATCCTCCCCCCTACCCCGTAACAGTCGAGTCGATATATATAAAAATCACCAAATATGATCTTTTACGATATAAATAAAAAAAAAAAGTATGAGGCATCACTGTTTACATGATGTAAAAAGAGCTAAAAAAGAGCGATATAAACTACATTCATAAAAGTGCATCTCCAAACATACAAGTAATGCTTTGGCTTGTTCCTGTGCCAAACGGGTGGCATTGGGTCAGGTACTGGAATATAAGAAGTCCAAGCTGGCACCCCATGCTCTCTGTCACTGTACAATTGCTATTTACTTTCATTAATACAGACTGGAATACAAGTGTATACACAGAGTAGGCACATTTCAGCATAGGTGGTGGGAAGGACCAGAAGCTCTGGCGGGGAGAGGACTGAGCCCATCAGTCCGTGATGCTCTTTGCTCTGCTCTGTAACAGCCTTCCATGATGTATATGAGGTAAAAGCCACAACAGATCCTGAGGATTTAGTTGCTTTGAAACATTAAAAGTTACACCGTTTCCTCATGCCCTATTCTCTCCCGAAACACAACGTGTGGGATAGCAAGGAAAGACCACGGAAGGAGGTCTCAATTTGGTGAGGACAAGCCAAGGGTAGAGAGAAACCTCTGCAGACAGGATCACTGCACTCTTGATTGCTGCTGTACATCTGCAAGGTAAAGTGTGATGAATAAAAGATTCCAATCTTTGGTATATTTAGGTGCTAGCTGCAAGGCCTGAAGAGTGCTACTGGGCCCCACAGGAGTGCTGACCACCCTACTTCTGTCATCAAGACTACAGGAATGATTTCACATTCCTCTGCAGCATACAAAGCCATTTACACCATGGAAAAGTGGCGTAAAATGCTCCCTAAAACAGAGTAGAAGTGTCACGTCCTTGCTTCCCTTCGGTGCAAGCAACAGTGAAGCACAGGCCAAAAACCAGGCCACGTGTCTTAACAATTTGGAGTCAAGTTTCAGGTTTGGAAAAGATCAATAGAAGTGCTCTCACTAGAATTAAATAAATTATGGAACAAGGGCTTTCATAAGAGATAACCCCCCTAAGTGCCTGCAACCTAAACAGTGCATCCTTGTAGTAGTGCGGGAGAGCCTAAAAGTGAAACCAACACTAGCTTGCTTTCACCGATTACACATTGCTCTGAGCTTGGCACAGAAAAAACACTTCAGATTGTTAAACCCTTTCAGGGCTTTTGGGTGTTTGGGGTTTTTTTAGGGCTCTTTTTTCTTTTAATTCAACACAGTATTTATCATGTGTTCAAGGAGCTTGGTTTCATTAAAACTTGCCTTATCCTATTAGCAGTCACTTAAAACCAGTTAATTTTACTGCATTATGAAAGCAATTTTCAAGTTTTTATGGGGGAGAAGAGTGGAGGTATGTGGAGCCTTAATATGGTTTCCAACACAAGAGCAGAACACCCTTAGCACTGCTCTAAAAAGCGGTATTTTAACCAATTATACATTTGCAGTTTCATTTCACACAGATAAGTTTTACTCCATGAATCCCCAGCACTTAAAAACCGCTGCTCTTTTACGAGTGAAGTAAGAACTATTAGTGCCCAAATCAGCATACAGTATTTGAGGCTGGTAAGCCATCAGGAACTCAGCTCTCAGAGATGTGGTACCTTTCAAATGCAAAGTCCCTTGGATACATTTTGCTGGTACCTACATGGGGATCTCCAGTTAATTTTAAAAATGTGCTAGCATTACAAATGTTCTCTCTGGTTCACTGTTTGACTTAACTAGTACAAAAGCTTATTTGAATAGGGCCATAACATTTTATGGAAATCTTAAATGAATACGTGCACACCTGTAAAACAAAACACACACATTGAAGGGTTGAGCTTGATTCTACCTCACGGTGCACAACTAGTGTCCAGCAAATTCTCCCCATGAAAACCTCAATTTTCCATTAGGCCAGGTCCTCAGAGAAACACATAAGCTTTTCCTGAAGTAAACTCCTGGGCAGCAGATGAACTATCTTTGGTTTAAGGGATAGTAAGAGGTTACCAGCCAAAAAGACAGGTGCAACAGAAAGCTGTTCCGCAGAACTCCCTTCCAGATGGGTTTTCATTTAGACTCAGCAGTCCCAGGGAGATGAAGCAGGAGCACAGATTTGCTGGCTATGAGGACATAAACTAACCAACACTGTCTTAGTGCTAGGACAGATCAAGCCTTGGAAATCAAGCTCTGGATTTTCTAACATCAGTGGGAGAGCCCTAATCTTCGGCCCTGGAGTGATTGCATTCTGCTGAAACTTTTGATTATCCTGACATTTAGCTAGAAAGACTTCCCTCACCCCCACCCCAAAATCCATGGTTTCATTATAAAATAACACTATTCACATACTTTTGAATCAATATTTTCTGAACACCTTCAGATGCTGAATACTTAAGGAGAAAAATATATAATTATATAGCGAGCGCATGCTCAATGACACATGGCTTTTTGCTGGATTCTTGTAATATAGATGCCTCTAAAGCCCTAGCAGTCTGGAAAAGTGACCCACACGTAGAGAGCTGGTCTGGATGGCTGTTGCACATTTCTGTTCTGAAGAGTGTAGCTCTTCCAGTTCCCACTTTGGTTCAGATTTCTTCTATGTTCAACCAGTGAGACACTTCTTACATTCCCATTCTTGGGCCTGCAGAAAGCATGCAGCCAGCTGCAATTTCACATCAAGGTAACTAGGGCAAAAATGCAGCTCTGTTTGGACAGCTGTCGGTAGAATAAACTTTAGTCCAGCAAACAAAGGTATCAGGCACAATAGTAGACCCTAGGTTCCTTGGCAATTTCCCCAAAGGACTAGGACAGCTGAGTTGGCATTTTGAAGATGCAGCACCACAACGGGCAGTTGCAACTGGACCAGACGGGGCACTGAAAGCCCAGCAGGAGCTGCTAGCAAGGGAGGTAATTCAGTACGGGAGCTGTGCAAACTGATGTCTGAGCAGCTCTTCAGCAGAGGGTCTGTGTCTGGCTTCCACAAAGATCTGCTTTAGAAAGTCCCGGCAATGTTCTGATATGTGGGAGGGGAGCTGGGGGTTGGTTGGTTGGGTGGCGATTTTGAAAATGGCTGCCATGGCTTCGTACTCTGCCCAGGGTGGTTTCTCTGTCAGCATTTCCACAACAGTACAACCGAGGCTCCTGGAAGAGCAGACAGGAAAATAAAAAAAACCAAAAAAGTGAGAATTGACTCACACAATAATGCACAGTGTTCAGAGAAAACTTCCAAGCAGCCAACATCAAGGTACAGCTCTGCTCTGAAAACAGCTGTAAAATGGCTTTGTGCTCAGCAAACCCCATGCGTGCACAGATCCTGAGCCAGACCTGCCAGCGTCGCTGCTGTTACTACTGTCGGGCTAGCAGTGAAGTGCTGAGACAGGGAGGCTGGTTGCCACCGTGGTTCTCACTGCACCGAGAACTGTGAAGTGCCATCTGTCCAGCTCTCCTTCGCTCGAACTCTGCTCTCAGTAAACATTTGCATTAACAACCGGAACAAGAGGTGCACACGAGATGTCCCTAAAGGCACCGTTCAACCTCAGTGGTACTTCGGGTGTTGCTGTTACTGTTAATATCTCAAAGGCACTCGCTGAGTTGCAAGGTAGAAAACATAATTTTTAATCAAGGTCCGGTGAGTCAAGAGCTGGTTGACCCCACAAAGCCATTTCAGCAAAATCCCTTTTCAGTGCACAGCCTCAGAATGCCCATGTGAGGAAAAAAAAGCCCTAATAGCTCCACTTCACAAGAAACCAACCATCGTAGGCAGTCAAAAAATAATTAAATTCTTAACAGCTCCAAACTGAGAAGACAGTAAATTAAAACGCCAGTAGGGCAGATGCATCATTACGTTAAGGCAAAACTCCTAGTAAAGTTAATGGGGCTCTGCAGCTACTTCAAGGCAAGAATGTGATTACGGGGAGGGACATGGCTGAGCCACCTTTCTGAAGCAAACGTGACACCAATACTTTCACAGGGAAGATGGGTTTCTGTGGTACTGCAGTGATTGTTTTTTGTTCAAAAAGGATTAATTGCTTCCTCCGGGCCATAGATTAAGCAAAAGCAGTTAGTGAACTTCTAATATACAGTCCTGTGTTTTGATCACATCGTTCCATTAAAAAGGCAAAACTGCCTCGTCTACCTTTAAACTAAACCCTCTTTTGAAGTGAAGAGCAAAGAAAAGACATTTTCAGAGGCAGACTTGCATCAATTGCCAAGACAAGGAAGGAAAGGAATTAAATCCAGTGAATATGCAAGAAATGACTTCTTGACAAGGTTTAAAATCCAACGTGAAAATTTTACACTGGTTTCCAGCCATTTAAGACTTACTAGAAGAGAGTACAGAAAATGCAAACCATGTGTGCTGAAGTGCTGGGGGTTTGCTCAAGAGCAAGCAGGGATATATTATTGTTTAGACTGATTTATACCGTTTAAGCAGATCCGGTTTCTTTAAGATATTCAGCAAACAGCAGGAATGTTTTTCATGTCAAGTCACTCCAGCAATAACAAATAGCTCACATATTCTGCTATTTAGGAAAAAGAAAATTGGAGAGGGGCCCGCAGCAGTGGCGGAAAGCCAGGTGGCTAGATTTGTTACGTCTTTGAGCCTCTCGGCCATACGCATCCACCCTGGGACTAACGCTGCACTGGAAAATTCTGACCCCCCTAAATAATGATCGGGATTGTAGGAACTGGAGCCCAGCCAACAGCAGCGTCTCTTTGATGGAAATGGACCGATGTCAGCACCAAGAGGAAATCCACAACTGCATCAACCAAGGGGGAAGGGCACGTGCTCCATCCTCTCCCCAAGCATCCCAACTGGGAGAGTCTGCAGAACTTAACTCTTTGCATATGAGACACATTTTAGCTATGTTTCTACTCACTGCTTGTACAGGAAATAGCACAGGCTTTGCTTTACTGTGGAGAGACAAACATACCTTTTGTCGCTGTCACTGAGTTTAGTTTTATAACCTCACCTTTTTAAGGCCTCCAAAACAAACATTTTGACACAGGACCATTTTGCTCTTTCCTTTCGATAGAGGCTGTTTTTTGGCTATGCCAATAATAGCATGGCTACAGTTTCCATTCATGCATACTTCAGATCACCTCTGATTTGACCTGTATCTTTTGTGTTATTCCAGGTTTGGGCATCTTTCCTTTAAAGCTCAAATTCTATTCCTTTCATTTCCAGTGTGTTATAAGCATACCTCTCATTTTATAACCAAACAAATGGACTCTCCCTAAACAACCTTCAGCCTCTCTTATGAGGGACAGAAGAAGGATGGAAACCTCACACCACTCAAAACAGAAAAATCAGCTATCAGTTCGAGAGAGGAACAAGTGGAAATTGTTCCCGAAAAACTAAACAAGCGGTTGTGTGTTGACACTGTAAAGCACAGCCTGCAGCAGGTCATGTCTTAAGTTCAAATCAACTGCTTCAGTTCGCCTTAAACTTTTGATCCAGACAAAAATCTGAATTTTGATATACAGACAACCATGTATGTGTCTTATCTTGCTCCAGCAAAGCTGTAAATTGATCTATGGACAGAAAGTTAAAGCCTCACCATACGTCTGCTTTTCTCCCATAGCCTTCTCCGCTGATCACCTCCGGGCTCATCCAATATGGCGTGCCAGTGACAGAGCGGATGCCTGTTCCAGACATACAGATTGTCTGCAGCCGTTTGCTGGCCCCAAAGTCCCCAAGCTTCACATTCCCAGCAGAGTCACGGAGAATATTGGCTCCTGGACAAAAAACAAAGAATGGAGACAGCTGTTTTCATGCAATCCAGCTGTTGGATCCACAGCCTACAGAGCTGATATCCAACCCAGAAATACCCATGCTCATGGTATGGCTTTCTCCCCATTAAGCCTCAGGTGACCTGCTCAACATCATTTCTATAATTCAGGCTGTAGACAAGCCAATTGCTAATGGCTGCAAATGGGAAAAACTTCAGGGGAAAAACACAAGGAAGTGAAGGGGGAAGGGAAATGAGAGCTGAGTCAGCACTGTCATTGTTACACTGCCTGTAAACAGCTCAGCCTATGCAGGGCCCCCAGGCCAATGGCTTAGATAGTACATAGCTGTGTGGAAAAGGATTTTATTGGGATGCTGCTTTGGTGAGTATAACCATTGCTTTCTGGTCAGCTGGGTAACAGATGTAGCTAATTAAACCACTTTGAACTCCTACAATAAACAAGTCAATCTCCACTTTACTTGGTCAGAGGTCCCTGCACACGAAGCACCAGGGAAAAAAGCAAACTTAAGAGCTTAGCTTGTATGTGGACACGAACGAAGGCTTAGACACCAAACCCAATTCTTCCTTCAAAGCTGCAACGAGATCAAGAACCCTGTGTTGCCATTATCTGGTACATGCCTATGTGAAATCCTTCCACACTCAGATAAAAAGCACTTGTGCTGGGAGAGAAATTTATCACTTATCACTTCACTTCCCCACTGGAAGAGCTGAATTCAAAATAACAAGTCTGTCCATCCAGCACCCTGGAGGCAAGTTAACAGTTTGCCTTAGATAGGTGCAAACTAATGAATAACCTACCAGGTAGGAAATAGTTTGGTAAAGAGCACCACATGAGCAGTATACAAGGTATTATTCAAGAATCAGCAGCTCATTTCCCTTTGCCAGCCTAGAGGGGATGCAATGAAGATTTATAGGCAGGAACAAGACGGTATTTTTCCTGCAGCAAGCAAGCCTCCTGGTCCCTCTAGAGCACAGAAAAATTTGTGTGGTGTCTGCCACATCTGTTGACATTAACTCTTAGGGAGACTGGCTGGCTCCATGGGGTTATATTGGGAAACACTAATCACAGAGGCTCTACATGGAAGCCTGGAGGTTTCTTATGAAGAGGACGCAGGACAGTCACAAGAGCCTGAGGTAAGCAGGACTGTCAAGAGCAGGCATGGAGCTCTTATGGGAATCAGTATGCCTACCACCTGAGAAATAGTACTTTGGCCAAGCAGAGAGGAAATCAGAAGGAAATCCACAGGAAAATGCCCATGCCTTAGGGGTATGGTGAAAGCCAGGTGGCAACTCAGTCCCATTTTGCTGGGGTGTGAGAGAAAGATGAGGAGTTACAGAGAAGTGTTTCTAAGAATGACAGACTTTCAGTCTTCCTTACTATAACCAACTGCCAGGCTCTGAGGTCCTGTAGAGAGAACAGCCCAACTTCCCTTACCCAGCTCAGAACACGACCTTCCCTAAGCCCTGCACATGGATATAACACCAAAAAGTCTTAAGAACTGAGCAAAGCAATGTTCAGAAGCCACGGCCAGGATACTGAAATCTTAACACTTGGTTTCTTTTTTCCAGAGTTCCTTTAGCACATGGTATATATAAAAATCACCAGCTGATCTCACCCTTTATGTCCCTGTGCACAATCATGTTGCTGTGAAGGTACGAGACTCCCTCGAGAATCTGGCGAGTGTATTTCCGGGTTACATTTTCCGTGAGAGCACCATACGCCTTCAGCTGGTCTTTCACTGACCCCTGCACCAAGAGCAAACAGAAGAGATTGGCAAAGAATGATAAACCACAAATCTTGCAGCCTTCATTCAATTCCCACGAGCTGTGACTCTTGTTATACACCCAACTGTCACGGTGATGAATTCTGGCCTCTTCTACAGCCTTTTTGTGAGGCTCTTGGAGCATCTTGCCCTAAGAAGCCCCTTTTAAGAAAAGCAAGGGCATGCTTTATGGCAAAAATAGCTTAAGGAGGTTCTGGCTGCTTCCTCCATCCCTGAGCTGTGCTGGTACCACTGTTTGTGAAGACAAGTAATAAAATAGTTCAGCAGACTGATCTGGGTCAAAAGCCTCCCTTTTCGCTGGGTCAGTTTTTGCCTAATTTGCTGTGCTATATGACTCTGCTAACTCAGCCTGATTTACAGGTTGGCCAGAGTCCTGGTAGAACAAATTCAGACTGAAGAAAAGAACTGGCTTTCGTGACTAATGAAGATAATGTGTTTCAAGTACAAGACACTTAAGAAAAAAACACCAACCTGAAGAGGTGATTTTGGGCATAAATAAAAAGAATGTTGGTGGCATTATATATGATCCTATGATTATAACCTGGTATGAGAAAGGGACATACCTAAGAGGGTATAAGGTAGATTACATAGTTAGGGTAATCACAGCAACTAATAAATCAAGTAACAAAACGACCCCGCTCACTTTATGATCAGTGACCACGCTGCTTGTGTGGGCTCTTACCCCTGGCATGTACTCCATGAAGATAGTTAAGGTCTTCTCTGCTCGATCCCGTAAGCAGCCATAATACTGAACAATACGTTCATGCTGGAGATTCTTCAGCAGCTGAATTTCACACTCCAGGGCACTCACCTCCTATGATATTGAAGGAGAAAGTAAGGATCCAGCCCCAAGAAATATTCCACCCTAATAAATCTGTCCATATCACTGGTAGGATGAGACCACTACTACACTGAGGGAGTCTAATCCATGGCACTGGTTCACCTACTTCTTGGAAAGACAAACATGACCAACACTTCACATTAATCCGTACTGTATAATAAGCAGGTTTGTATTGGTGCAGAAGCTTTCATAGTTAGAACCACAGGCAGTATCATATATGGACTCAGTACCACAATTCTTGTCTGGATTCTGTCAGCTGAATGGCTTTAGAGAAGTTGGTTGAAAGCACTCCTCACTCACAATACATATAACCTTAGTTCTCACCACTAAGCTGAGAGCAGTGAGTGTTAATTTCAATTATGAAAAAGTTCTGAATACAGTTACTGAATTTCTAGGGATCCTTCTGTAGGAACCACAACCCCTTAGAGAGCAAGACTACAGGTACTAAGAGTTCCTACACTTCTTCTGTCATTCAGTCCTGTTCTGAGTCACACTGATGATTTTACTTGAATCACCCTCAGAAACGGCTTCCTTGCTTATTTACTTCAAAGAATCTGCAGCTATGCACACGAAACTGATTCTCTGCTTTATTCTTGCCACAGACAACAGGGTATCATAGCACAAATGCAAAAAGGCTATCCAACAATTTCAGCCTGAATCAGAGATGTTTGTTGCCCAGGAAGAGTATCAGGTTCTTGCTGAGTCCAGGGAATGAACAGGATGAACTTCAAAGGTACTGAAGCACAAGGATTTATGGAAAAAGGAATGATGGTTTCCCCCAGATTAGTCCCACTTAACTCTCTCCCTCCACTGGAAGGTGCCAGGTTCACTTCCCTCATGTTGGGAGAGGATGCAGCTCTTCAAGAGCAAGGACCTGGCTGCCACAGAAATGCATGGAACTAGATGAAGCTGCTTAATCAGGTCAACTGATAGTTTAAGGTTTGGAGTTTCAGTGCCTTCAAAATGCATTCCAGCCTGTTCTTCCTTGGCTCAGACTTACTGTCTGATTTACAACAGAGACATGGTATAACTTAGAACTTCCCAAGTTAGGACTTCTCTTGGCACCAACATCCCATATAAAATCAGAATAATTAAATCTTCACAGATCAGTTATTCCAGCTCAAAGTGAATTTGTTCAATATTGGGAAACTGGTACATTGATAAAACACTAGCAAAGAACCTAACAGCCATTCCAGCTGCGTCCACTGTGCAGGGAATCGTGTGCTAACCTATAATTTCAAGGTGCCCCTTCCCATCTCCACTATTTCTAATGTGTTGTCACGTCACCGTTCTTGATTGATTTACATACCACAGTTCAATTTGTTTTAAGGATAGGGATAATTCAGAAGCAGAAACCAGTAATTAATACACTTGATACAGGACCTACCATGTAAGGCCAGAAAGTGGGTTTTCCAAGTGCATGCAACTTTTTTTGTTTAAAAAAGAAAAAAAAGTTCTACTCTTTCTGGGTTTAGTTTCATTCACATCCATGTCTAACCAGGAACACAGGGCAGTCTAGTATTCCTCAAGTAACCTGGCAACAAACCAAAAAGCTGAGAAGGGAGAGCCAAAAATGAAGCCAGAAAATGGATTTTAGTTTCAGACTGAAGTTAATAATACAGAAAAGTGATTTTTAAATGATTCTTACTCCTCTCCATATGACTTGAAACCCTAGCACAAATTAAAGAAGATACTAGCTTTCAAGGACAAATACAGGCACTTTACAGGATCTCAAAGTCTGCATAAAGCATTTTAGAAGCTGTGATGAGAATTACCTTGCTTGTTTCAGGACTCTCTGGGTCAAACTGAACTTGCTTAGCTGCAAGCTCTCTGCCCGTGTCCACATCATAGCACAAATACACACGACCAAAGGCACCCTGGCCCAGCAGTTTTCCTCGTCGCCAGTTTATTGGAGCACTCGGAGCTAAAAATGAACAGAAACAATTGCTCTTTTCATTATACTGTTTAAAGACAATGGTGATCTTTTCAAAGATCAGTCCCCACCATGCTGGGATTGAAACAGATATTTTGCAGTTGAAGAAACAGATACGAGGCACTCTCCCAGTGTAAGGGAGTTAGTGGCAGAACTCTGAACAGAATCCAACCATTCAGACTCTCAGGACCTGCTGACTAGTGTCCCATTAAAGTGAAATATTTTGCAAAGATATATTATAGACAAGTTATTCAGTGAGGTTAATGAAATTTCATTTAACCAGCAGAGTGGATTCTACAACATCACTATCTTAAGAGGTGGCGCAGCAATTAAACAGCATCTTCCAAGCCTTGATCTGTAGTTACCACATGCAGCAGATGAAGAAAAGCTGGATCAGCCAGGCTAAATCAATCCTACCCAGCTAGGAATGATTGTTAAGATTCTGGGACAACCTGAAGGACATTAATTCAGAGTTATCTGCCAACCATTGGTTAGTTTGGGGTTCCTTCTCCTGAGGGAAGGATTACACTACAAGGCTATCTCTACAGCAGAAAAATCAGAAGTCATAATTCCCTACTAGAAACTGGTAAGATAGGGGCCATAATGTAAGCACAGTGCAGGTATCTCCTTTACCTGCTGAACAACCAGACTCTAATAAAAATATAGAACCAGCTAAAGCAGCCACCTCCAACACCCCAGCAGGAGGTTATGTCAGCAGGGAATTATGAGTTCTCATTGTTCTACTGCGCTGGCGAGCGCACTGCACAAGCAGCAGTCTCCTGACCCTGAGATTAACACCTGAGCCCAGTTTTACAGACTGAATACCAAAACATATTACTCAAAGACCAGTGCTTTAGCTCTAACTTTGAACACGATACTACCAGACTCATGCAGTGCAATGCATCCAATTATGTTGTATTTAACAAGAAACTCTAAAAACAAAGACAGGAACCAACCATCTGGACAGTGTGAAAATACAGAAGAGCTGAGAGATCAGCTTTGCCATGTCTAATTTAATCAGATTTACTGGCAGTTGGTGTTTTAGTGTGTTGCTTACTATGCTGCATTAATGTCTTCATTTTGATCCTTAAATTACTCGATGGGATATCTGAAGTTCATCAGTAATGATTTATGTTTCATTTCTTTTTTTATAATATAAAGTTCCCTAAAAACCAAAGCTGGAATGCTATTAATACAGAATTAAATCTTTCTACTAAGAAGCAAGGGAAATAAATACAACCCTTAACTAGTAAAATAACTGTAATCCACAAGCCTGACTACAAATGTTAACGCACCAGGAAAATAAACAAGCTTGTCTGACTGTTTTAAGAACCCTGTAGATCATCTAGATCCAATCAAGTTACAAGTTTTTTTTTCTACTTAGCTGAATTTCTAATGCTTTCTAAAAGAGAGGCCAGCTCCCAGTGCAAGACTACATATTCTTAGAAGAAAAAGAGGACCTGTCTTTAGATGAGACAGACTGGTCTCAAAATACAGCCATGTAATTATGTGGTTTTGAATGGCAATATATTGGGTCTGGAGTGCATCTCTAAAAGCCTTTCCTGCCCATAACCCCAGGCCTTTCCTCAGTTATCACCAGGGTGACTGCTTACATTTGGTGGGAATGTTCCTCTCCTGCACACCAAGGGCATTTTCGCTGTCGGCACTCCGCAGGCGCCCCCGGGGGTCCAGGTACTGCAATGCCAGGCCCAGGTTTTCTCCGTTGGTGCTTAAGGAACGACTTGAAGGGACCAAAGTGAAAAGATTCCCCTGATGACGCCGTATCCGAGGAAATGTCCTCCGGCCTGCAGAAAAAAAAAAAAATTTAAATAACATGTTGACAAGTGGAAGGTAATGGTTGGAGGTTGAGCAACAAAGAGAAGCTAGAGAAAAAATGTGTTCGGATCTGTTCTCATGGAGTAGAATCTACTGTCAAGCAGACAAGATGCAAAAATATAACAGTTCAGGGCTGATGCTGCTTGAGTTCAGCACAGCTTTGGATCACTCTCGAAGTAGAAGGGAGAGAATACTTTGTAATGCCCTCAGTGCAGTAGTGCAAGGTCTAAGCTTGCCTTCCAAAGCAGAAATCTGATTTACAGGTTACCACACAAGCTCCAAGGCTTGTTAACAACTACACAGATAGAACGATTTTCTAGATAATGTGCCTGGACTTGCGAATAAAATCCATAAAACAAAGATTACGACCTCTTATGAAACTTTGAGAAATTAATTTGCACAAAGCCATCTGATGAGCAGAGATGTGATTCTTTATGTCACTGGTATATTTAAGAGACCCAGAAGCAAGTTTGCATTGTGAATAAGCAAAGCATAATGAATCCCTGAGGTAGGAACCCACTATATATGGCCAAGGCTAATAACTACGTCCACTGCTCAACCCCAGCCATCACTGATCAGCCTGGATATCCCCCCAAAAGGGTAAAATAAACAAAGAATTCCAAACAGCTATCATGGGTTGCTATGAAAATGTGGCATTGTGCATGACAGAATTAACTCAAGCACTAACTGCAAGGACCAGGGCATTTCCAGACTCTTCAACTAGGAGTTACACTCACCCTGGAGGTTATCATTGCCTCACCTTCTTTTTTAAGCCTGGAATCAAAGGTCTGACCAACTCACCATCGTTGTAGTCTTTGTGCTGCATGGAGACATTGTAGCGCCGAGGGTAGGTCCCACCTTTCCCCGCTTTGTCGTAGATTTGATTCTCACGGTCTGGAATGAGATGCAAAGAGAGAGGTGAGGCTTCTTCAAAAAGTTTATGTTCTAATGACAGAATTTTCCTGTAACAGCAGGTTTTTTAGGAAGAGGTAGTAACTGATTTCATAGCTCTTCAACCAACACATCCCCAGTTTTTGTATTTATACAATCCCAGCAAGCATGGAGGGTAGTCAGCAAACAGCAGAAAATGTCTGGATCAAATAATCTTTATACCGGACACAGACATACCTGAGAACTCCTGTCTATTATCAGGAAAGCTTTGTGCCCTTGACATCCGTGACTTCCGAAAAGAAGGACTATTAAAGAAAGAAGGCAAGAGTAAGTTCTGCTATCTACTAGAGTGAAACCTAGAAGGACTTTAAATAGAAGCTAATATATCTGCACACTGGTAACAGCGATTCTCAAATCCATGTCCCTGCAATAATTTCACGCTATGTCTGCAAAGCTACAGTCAGGCTAAGCCCCAGTAACCACACCATCTCCCAGTGGACAGTCAGCTTTTCTGTTCAGTTTGTGCCATTTATTCAGCGGTTCTCCAGTCTGTGGAATAAGACCCAGTGCTTCCTTCAGTCACACGTAGTGGAAGGTTAAAACCAAGGCTAAGAGCAGAACAGGGTTCTGCTTGCAGCATACTGCTCACAGGGCAGTAGAGAACAGGGGCTACTGCCCCAGTGATTTAGCATGAAGGGTAAGACTTCCTCTCATGAAAACTTCTGTGCACTTTCCTCTCTACCAGCAGCAGATGAGCCTAAACACAAACATTGCTTACAGCCATCATGTTTCTCCTCTGCCTTGTCTGGCAGGTCTTTAACATCTCTTAGAAGATTACAGTAACTCCATCTGTGCCAAAGCCATGTTATTAGCACTTTTTTTTTTTGTTAACCAGTGTAAATGGAGTAAACCTGACAAAGCTTTCAGACTCCCAAAGAAGTCTCCTTTCCTACTACCCAAAAAACAGCTTCCCCACATGATGCTCACTCCTACAAGGAATAACCAGAAAGGCTTTTTTTTTTTTGTTTTACTCCCTTGCTCCACTTAGGGCACGGAGAGGGGAGAGAAGGACAGGTAACAAATTAGCAGAAATCAGCTTGGAGGAATGTTAAGAACATGGTGAAGCCCAATATTACAGGTGCTGGGAAGCCACAGTTGTTCAAGTTAAGGGGACCTGTGGCTGCCCAGCAATACCTCCAGCAACACCTACAGCCAAGGGAAGAAAAAGATCTAGAGCATCTAGACTAGAACAAAATCCTCACCAAAGGAAGAGCCTCCCTATTTACCTTTGGAATGAATATTATATCTTGCAGGACGCAGGAATCTAGTGTAAAGATATACTTCTTTAACCTTAGAATAGTTTCTTGGGTTTTTTTAATAGGAACAAGTAGAGCCTTGTCTAAAAGAGATTTAAATACCCTGCAGCCAGATGTTCTCAGAGTCTAGGCTCCACACAGACTGCATGCTTTAGAGCTTTGTGTTTATAACATACAGGTACTGAAGCACCAGTTTGTTGGTGTATGGTTTTGCCAAAAAATAAAACAGCCTTAAGACACAGTTAATTCTCTCTAAGAAATATATTAGGATATAGGTAGGATATGACTTCCTATTACTCTCCAAGAAAATTTATGAGATGGAAAACAGACTTTAGCTTATGTACAACTGGCATTTCAATTTGAGCACATAAGTTCCTACCAGCCTGTACATTTGTACCTGTCTGCTGACCTGTCCAAGGACTGACAGCTCCCTGACACCGAGTTTTCAGCACTGCTTAAAGGGTCCAGCATCTGCAACACAGAGAAAAATCACATGGCAACATCTGTTCAGTCTAATGCCTAAAAGACGCCGTGCAAGAGGATCAGTGCTGCTTGCCTGCAGGACATCCGGATGAAGAGGGGAGTCTAGAGCTATCTAGAATGTACATCGTTCCTTTATCTCCCACAGAAATTGTTAAGGACACATCAATTTTGAGACACTGCTTTAGGTGTTGGAGAACTGTGCTGTGAAAAATGAAAACTTAAGTCAGTCCTGTGCTGCGTTTTGATCCCAACTGACTGCAGGAACAGAGTCTCTGCTGGTGCTACTGCATCACTGCCTCCACCTGCAAGTTGCCCTTTGGCCTTACTTCCTACTTTTTTGAATGGAGAGCACAGTTTCAAATGCAAGAGGGTCACACAAACCTGGTAATAGGAAACCTGAGCGTACATGTGTAATGTGCACCAAAACTGCTCATTCAGAGGTGGGGAGACAATGCCCAAAACACATGGCAGCTGCTTCTGGCAGTCCTACAAAGGCTTTGATCTTGCACATCTACAAACAAGTCTGAAGTGTAGTTTAAATTAACAAAGCAGTACTAGTAGGTGCTAATGAAATGACAGCTAGTGATATTCTGGAGTGAAAAAACAAGGCCCAGAGAGCAGCAGTGAGTTCCTTCACAGTTGGACTTTCTTTTTTTCACCCTAATGCTCATACTTACACACTGTTCATTGGTTTCTGGGATGAATTCGCCTTCACTATTTATGCTGGTGTAGGAACCCTGCCGAGCAATGCGCTGTTGCCTCTCTGGAACGTACCCAGGAGGTGGTGAACTTCGGCCTGTGTTCTGGGAACCTGGGCCAGAAAGAAGGACATTTTTGATATTTATGCTTACTGAAATGAGACTGCACATCCATGTACACAAAAATCCAAATATTCACCTCTAATGCTAGACCTCTGTGATCACAGCAGTTCTGGAGTGAACCTTACAGTCTGGACAGAAACAGAATCGGGAGGTGCCATGTCAAAAAGCAAATCATTCAACAAGCACCTGTATTGTCATTTTAGACAGTACAAGATTATTGGTGAAGCTCCTAACAGAGCAGTCACCTATTTCTAACCTCTTCTGCTCAACCTTCTGAGCATGATTTCAGTATCTTAAGGAAAGCAGAGGACTCCAGGAATCCCTGGCTTTGGGGTGAACTTCACTTCACTGCTAATCTCCACTAAACAGAACACTTGTCAGGGCAACCAACCTCCTGTCTTGACTATAAGTTTGCCAACTAGTATCATTTACTTGAGTGACAGCACTATTCCTGCTAATCATCATCAGCTGAGCTAATTATACTGACACTGAGCAAATTCAGTATCACTTGGGAGCACTGTTACCTTTGCAAATAACCCCAAAATTTCTGTTTACTGTGCGAAAAATGAAACTGTGTGACTGGTTTGGGCAAAAACACATGGAGAACAATTCTGCAATCTCTGTTAATTACATAATAAGCTAGATGGACAGAGAGTATGTCTAGGGGCCAAAGGATGAGAAAATCATTTTACTCATCTGTTAATGGTATGACCTAAAAAGTTTCTGTTGTGCTACCTACTGAGAGAAACTTCACCCCTAGAATTTATTTGTTTCCTTGCAGATCTCAAAGATGATACTGTAGAAACAGGAAGATACAAAATCCTTTTTTTTGCAGTGACCTATCCACCTGCAACTCCCACCAAGTCACACTGTGAGCTCCAAGAAATGCTGTGGTCCAGCCAATCTACTCAAGGTCACACATGAAGTCAGAGGCAGCATTTTAAGATCAGCTCTCAAGCCGTGCTCTTTACAACGCTGTCTTTAATTAACTGTGTGTACTCAGGTGCTATGAAAGATGGGTAAAGATCAGCAAATACTCTCCCAAGGAAAATATTTTTTACAGAAGTTATTGTAATAAAGAATGACGCAAACATCGGCAGAAGCTAACTGAAAACCAGTGCACACACCTTTCAGAGGGCTGCGTAAGGAAAAAAAAACCCAACACTGGCATGGGGAGGGTGAACTACATGAAAAAAAAAAAAAAAAAAAAAAAAAAAAAAAAAAAAGAGAATCTATTGCTTAGAGCTACCACCTGATTTTCCAAGTAGCTCTGCAGGGCTCACGTGACATTATAAGCCAACTGGTGTGGAGATAAACAAGAGAGCGTGCTTTGGGGCTTCACTGAGTCACCGGAGCACACTTTCACTCTTTCCGATACAATGGCACTGCTGGCCAAAGGGAGCCCAAGTCCTGCTGGCATCAGCCCAGCTGCTATTGTGGAAAGGCCACCATCACTGGGCAGGAAAAGGAAGTCGGCACTAAATCAATGTATATCAAAGGAAGTGAGTGGAAAAAACACAAGTGCTGCCAGAATGCTTAACAACTTTTTTTTTTTTTTTTCCTAAATAGAAATTATCTTTACTTCCAAACCTCTGAATTGGTGACAGCAAGCTTGAGGCCCATCCACTTTAGAAGGCAGGAACTACACAGATATATCTCCTGCATGCAAACAGCTTTTGTTGAGTGCTGCTTTCAACCTTCATGGCGTGACGTGGTATGAATAGGAAAATGTCTATGCCCGAAGCACTAGGAAACAGGGGTACATTCCTTTTCCAAATCAAAAGATAGGAAAAGAGAAGGAAGAAGAAATTGATTCAAGGCTGAGCTATTGCCAAATTACTGTCAGACCTCTGACAGAACTGGAACTCTTCTGGACCTCTTAATAATGTAACAGTCTGGTACTTTGACATGTTCAGAAAATAAAACCAATGCTTTCTTGATTGATGAATGACAGGCTAATCAGAAAGTGTCCATAAGCTGGGATAAGAGGAAAGAGTCTGTACAACTGGGATACAGAAGGGGCCCCTTATTACTATACAGTTTACCCACGACAGACACTCGGTACAGTCTGTTAGCTTTGGCATCAGTATTTGGATACCTTAGAATGCCAATAAAGGAGAAGATTTTTTTTTTTTTAAATAAAATATCTTTGGCATTGAATTTGTCTGAAAAAAAGAAACGTCGTGTTCAGACGTGCATGGATACTGCTGCTTTCTTCATAGGACCAAGGAATGTTGCTCTTTTTATCCACATTAACTTCTAACTAGAGAGGATGGGAAAACTCTTTTTGTCCCAGTTTCAGTCACGTACCTCACAAGCTTTCAGCCTTCTTTGTTTGTTTGCTACATCATACAAGCAAACTGTACAAAAGGGGATCAGCAGACTCTAGACAGGATACAAACAGGTTTGCTAGACAAGTGTAGTATTGAGAACTACTGGTCTAGTTCTCAAGTCCTTCTGAGTCCTTCCTCCCTGAGCTTACTCTCCCAACTACCTTTGGTCAGAACAGCATGAATCTGAGCCCAGTTTAGACTCCCCAGTACGGAGACTGTCTATTCTAGTTTAATCAGATTTATCATTTGACACTATAGTTAGATTGCAAATACTGATCTAAAATCCTTGTAATGATTATGCCTCAAGTTTACACAGTTAATGAAACTGAAGAACTCCTCTTCCACAGAGAGAGCTAGTTTAGAAATTGGAAACAAAGCAACTCTGACATTCCCAGCTCCTAGTACTACCCTCATGATTTGCAGCACCTGTCATCAGAAGCACTAGGTCTGACAAGCCCTGAAATAGCTGTTGTAACTAACACAGCCATCCTCTGCTGCTGCTTCCAGCAAAATTTAGCTTTCTCACTTCTAAAGCAAAAATCATTTACACAGAACACTGGAGTCTCTAGCCTTTCATACTGCAAATCCCAATTATTGCCCACCTTCTTCCTGCTCTTTCACTGCTGAGTTTCACACCAAGGAGTCAGATTCTAAACCACAGACATTTTTTTCTTTTTTGGACCCGTGAGTCTCCGAAGCAGTTTCAGATGTTTTACTTTTTCATATAAAAAGTTAACAGCTTTGAGCATCCATCAACCACAGATTTGAATAGTACTGCATAGTTATACAGGGAGTTGTAACACAGATATTGGGCCAACTCGGACAAATCTACCAGAGATAGAAGTCACAAAAATTACAGGAGTCTTACATGGACCATTCCACTAAACATGAGTTCACTAAGCAAACAGCAACACAAAGGAAATGAGACAAAGGTACATATTACTCTGACTTTTCTCATTACCTTTTGTGCAGCTGAACCACTCACCTGTATTAGCCTTGTGCTCTACTCATCTGGTAACTACAAGAGTGAAAGGTTAGGGAACTCAGTATGTAGGGCACTGGTTGGATATGCAGTGGCAATTCCTGTGCTACTAGTAAAATGCTTGATTACAAGAGTGAGGACAGATTCCAAAGACCAACGTAAAAAAAAAAAAAAAAAAATCAAATCTAGGTTTCATGAACTGAAATTGCCAATCTAAATAAAAAGCTTAATGGACTCACGTAAGCTTTCCAAATTTCTAACCTCAATGGATCTGGCTTTAGGACATCCCCTTTAGCAGCTCCTCAGCTGTTCAACAACTTAGTAAGGAACTTTGAAACATTCTATTGTAAACATATTAAGAGCTTTTGAAAATTAACTGCCTTGTCCTAGAATAACCTTTCAATAAATGCTATACCATAAACACTAGTGCCCCAAACATAAATTTCACAAAATAAAGACAAGCAGGAGTGGCAAAAATACTCACTGACAGACAGATGCCTACTTCTGGGTTCTGGCTGCTGATAGGGTGTGCTCACATCCCCCACAGATTGGGAAGTTTTAATCCTGACTTGTTTGGGAAGTCCAGAATGGGGTGAAGAACTGGTCTGTTGGGTAAAAAAAAAAAAAAAAAAAAAAAAAAAAAAAAAGCCAGTTTCAAAATACCATTATGTTTAGTAGCAAGAAAGTAGCTCAGGAATAGTTCTGAAGTCTTAACTCTACAGAACACAAACAATGAAGGCAGCAGAAGAACAAGCTTTACAAATACGGTGTAAACCAGGAGTCAAACAACTAGAGCATGCCACCCTCCAGCCTCAAATCAAATGCAGGATTTACAAGTCTCAACGTTTGTCTTCCAGTAGCAGCTACCTATGAACCAAAAAGAAGGGGCTCATATTGCTCACTGAGACCAGAACATGGAAGAGCCTACAATTTCTATCAGCCACCGTGGCCAGCAGAGATATAAATTATGAATCTTGCACTCCTTCAGAAGCAGTTACATAGCAACCGGACTCCCCACAATCTTTAAAAAGTAAACTGATAATTCAGACTAAGTGAAAATAAATTGGAGAGATCTTAAGAGCACAAAGAGCTTGGAGATGCCAAGATGAATGCTGCCTGTGTTGCTTTTATTCATCTTTCCCTGAATTTACACAGACATAATCTAATTAAAGATCATTTTTGCACGGTGCCTTCATCTCATTCAAAGCAGGAAGAGGAATGAGAGGAGACATATCAAAGAATTTCTCCCCTATTTGCTGAGAAAGATAGAAGGGGTAACTCCAGCACGCTTTGTAGAAGGAGGACCTGCAGGAGGGTTTTACAATTTAGGGCAGTAGGATGCCATCCAGGAGAAGTGTTCCCCGCCTTGTGCAGCGGTTCTGCCATGAGAAACTGCAGGGCCACATCAGACTTCAGAAGGTGCTCACCTGGCAATATCGAGACTGCAGCTTCAGGCAGCTAACACCTCTGTGCTCTCTCCATGGATGATAGAGGGGACACGGGCTCTTAGCAGAGCACTGAGCAGGACACCAACTATCTGAGGATGGTGCACTAAGGTCTGAACATACGAAATACTGTGAATTGCCAACCTCCCCCGAGCAGATGAAATCCTATGCATGTCAAAGCAGGTGCTCAATACTAGTGGACACTTTCAATTTTAATCTTCTTGTCCCAAAGCACCCGGTTTTCCAAGAGGATATAATATTCCCTTCCTGATGTATTACAGAATTTAACTAATGTTAACTTATTTTACTGAGATGAAGAGAACCAAAGATACCCCAAGGAAATGAATTCTGACCTCTGAAAATTATTTGAATGTGACTGGCAAAGAAGGTGTGAGGTCACACAATCAAAAAAGTATCGAAGAGTTGCTCATTTAATAAGCACTTACCCTTGCACAGAGTAAGGAGGGAGCCTGATTTAAGTTACATAAACTCTACCATGAATAGATTCATGGAGATGAATAAAAGGAGCAGAGGTCACACCATTTATGTGGACAGTCTGGCTTTAGTACTCCAGGTGTTCAACTTAACCAGTTCTTCCCATTAGTTTCTAAACAGAAACAAAGGACTGACAACAGAAGTGAGTTGCTTGATATAAGAAAGCACAAATGAGCCACAGAAAGAGGCACAAGAAAATTAATATAAATGCTATTCACGAACACAGGCTCTCAGTACTAGTCATACAGCTACTGCTGTAAAGTTAATTTGTTTTATATACATATTTGTGCCAAAGTCACGGCATTACCTTTCCATCCCCAGAAAAAGAGCACAACCAAAACAAAATCTGCATCCTGTACTTCAGGAAAAATAATGCTTCCCGCTCCCTCAGTGGGATGAGATCATGCAGCCAAGAAACCTCCTTCAGACTTGTGGGCTTTTGCTTTATCACATGTAGGGCTCTCCTGTCAGGCAACTCAGAGCTGAAGAGGAAGTCGGAGGAGAGGGGGGAAACAGTGGCACTTACTGAAGACTTCGCTGTTTGTTTCTGCTTTGAGCAAAAGAGGAAAAAACAGCTAATAAAAGGACACCACAGTACTGGCTACTGGCTGGTGTAGGGATGAGATTTACTAAGTGTTTACTGTAGGTGGCTTATGTAAAGTTTAGATAGTATCATTTAGCATCTGGTTTGCAGCCTGATGACACCAAAATTAGAGGGCTGTAGAAGAGGATTGTTTTACTACGTTATACCAAAAGTTAAGGCCACCTTTTACAGACTATTTCCTGACAACACAGAACAAAGTCTGACAATGCTAGGTCAGACCAAAGGCCTTCTTGCCAAGTATTGTCTTCAGAACAGCCAATAACAAATGCAAGGGCACAGGACAAGGAACAGCATCATCCCCTCCTACACCTTTCCAGCTCTATTGCATCCAGTTGTTTGGCTGTTAACACTCCTGAAGGTCTTTTTATTTCTATTAGCATGGATTATCAAATTCAAAAATAGCAAGAAGTACATTTAAGTTCTCCTGACAGTTCCAAGAATTACAGGTGTGATTATTACAAGAGTTTGAGCTCACAGCTTGCAGAACTTGAACAGGGATGAACATTCAAGATCGACAAGCTACTACGAACAGAGATTTCAAGACAAAGCAGCTTTTTGTGTCATACTCTTCAAAAGAATTTGCTGATTTGCAAATAAAATATCTAAGCTATCAAGGTCTTTGGCTTGAAAAAGCTCTATGACCTTAATTCTGAAAAAAAAAGACATTGGTTTGAGTGAACAAAATTCTGCAGTCACAGATCAGGAATAATGGAAACTTCTGACCCTTTTTGCGCTCTTCAGATTGCAGTGCAATTCACCGTCCATAATGGGAAGCTTTGGGAGCTTGACTTAAAGACTTACTCCTCAGGTTATGATCTTTTCTGCTAAAAAGTGCAAACTACATTGACACTCACTGCCATGGCCACCTGTGGTACAGGAAAGTGAACCAAGACACAATCAAATCCATCTTAGGTATGACTACACCATTATTAGCAAAAAGCAGCCTAGTCTCTACAGAGTAAGGCTGGATTCAACGCATTAGGCTACAGAACTGAAAAATCATTGGGAGCTGTCCTCAGGCCTCTCACCCAGGAAAAAGTGCTAATAGCTTGTCTTCAAGGACAACCTGTGCTTTCTTGAAGGCAAGATAATTACACACCCTTTCAACACTGCTATTAATCAAAGGTAAAAAAAGTTCTCTCAGAACTAAACTCATTAAGTATCTTCTGAATACAGTCATTGGGTACTTGATATAAAATGGCCGTCATATTACAGCCTAAAAAGCTGCAATGTTTTAGTCCCTGAACAGCTGCGGAAGGCGGAAAAAAGTAAAAAAAGAGGTACCTAAGGTACCTACAGCAAAGCCAAAGCAAAGAGGATAAATATATACATTCGTGTCTGTGAAGAGTGATTTTACTAATCCCTGTTACTCTCAGATAAGGCTACCTTCATGTTTTAGGGACTTAAGAATAAAAACATTCATTTTGCTGCCGTCACAGAAGTTACCTACATGATTTCTGTCCTGAGACAGTAATAATATTCTAAGGCTTTTCACATTAGAGCTTCGGTCTAAGAGATCTACTGCTTTATCCAGGTCATCTTGATTTTTCAAAGGAATAGACAGCTGCAAAATAAAGAACAGGAAAAACATCATTAGAAGAGACAGAAAAAAAAATCTAATTCCACAAAAGGTATTTAAACAAACATTAGAAAAAATAATCAGAATATAAAATTGATTGCTCAATTACTCCACAAATTTTCACTGCAATTTCACTGTCTGTCTTTTTCAAGAAGGTTTTTCTCCGTGTCATCAGAGAAATGTCTGACCTTATGCAAATTTCTCTAAGGCACCATCCACACAAATATTGTTACCTGAATTTGTTGTTTGCAAAGAACAAGTCAGAGACAGGCCCCTGACTCCCCGATGAGGACACTGTCTCAGAATACTTATAAATCCAGACCTAATGATCAAATGAAAATTAGGTTTCAGATAGAGACTAGTCCAACGAAGATTTAAGACTCTGAAAGAGGGAATCAAAGAAGAATTTAAAACTTGCTAGTAAGACCCTATGACATTATGCTCAGACACCCTCTATTTTACAGCCTGCTCGCATCTTGAAATGTGAATGTTATCAATACTGAAGAATCCCTTTCATTTTTTCCAGCTCCTCCTGGTGAATGGGATTCCGCATCTCTCTCATTAAAGATACAGTCCCAATGGTGGGAGGGCAACACCACAACAAAAAAACCAAGAAAAAGTCAGGGTGTCCAGAGTGAAAAAGCCAATTCTAGATCAGTGGTTCTTGACCTGTGGTCTGCAGAGCCCTGGGGAGCCATGATGTCGTCACAGGGGATCTGTGAAGTCTTAAAGCAGGCTGGGGAACATCCAGCCCAGAAACATTTGGTCTGGCCCACAGCAACCACTGTGCCTCCTTTTCCCACAGGCCCCTCCTCTCATACTCAGAACTCCCCTTCCCAGGCCTGCCCTGATGTGCTAGTATATTTGGTGGTAGTATGGTTGGTGGGACCCACTTTAACTTGGCATTTTTTTCTCTTAAAGACACTTTCTTAACCCAGTGGCCCTCTTTAGGGCCACAACGGGGCTCAAGTCTGTTCCTCCAAGGGGTGGCCCTGGACCCATAAACAAAAATATATGGTGACTGAACACAAACAAACAAGGTGGGAGGTGAGAAGAACTGTAAAAAGTTTTCATCAAATTTTAATGTAAAAATTGGCATCAAATTCAGAATTAGCATGTTAAAATACCATTAAATGGGCCATTTGAGCAAGAAGGGTGTTAATGCTATTATTTTAAATTCATATGGAATCACTGCAATAAAGATATTACAACAGGAGCGTGTGCATTAACAGATTGTTTCCACTTCTCTCCAAATTTGAAGACCCTTCATGAGAAAACTGAAATAAATATCTGATGCAGTCTAGTGCTTTAAATCTTAAGTCTTGGTGGTCTGTGGCCACAAAAGGTATTGAAAGAGGGTCCATGGTGAAGGAAAGGTTGAGAACCCCTGCTCTAGATTATTGACAGGGACTACCCAGTTCCTCAGAGACAAATGTTGTCCCCCATGTTGCTTTCTTTTACCAATGACAGTGCCCACAACCCCCCTACAGCATCTTGTACCAGAGAGCCTCCCCTGTCTCTGACTCCCCTTGCTCCCCTCAGAGCTGGGCAATAAGCAGAAAGTGAGGCAGCCAGCAGGAGGTAAATGTTACAAATGGCTGGATGCCTGCTGCTGATCTCAAACACCACAAACAATACTGACCCTGCTACTGGGCAACCAAAGAAATGACTCTGGGACTGCCTGCAGTCCTCAGACTGGATATATGTTGGCCTGCAGCAGTTGCTTTCAACATTCACAACACTTTAAATACCTCTTTTTACTTCCCCAAGAGTCTCTCAAACAATACCAGCACAAGGAAGCAAGATGCTGGTGTTTGTACAACACACACATTAGTGTGATGTTCTGTCAGCATCAGTACATCTTCCTCTGGAGCAGAGTGATTCAACTATGGTTCATATTAGAGGAAAGCACTGAAAATTAAATTGGGATGGGAAAAGGAGGTGTCATCCAGAGAGAGCATTACTTGTTCTGAGCACTGATAACAATGCTCTGTACCTCATTGTTCATGTAGTGGAGGTCCAGTGGCTGGCCAAAGGCTGTTTTCACTTTCTGTTGCACGTCTTCATAGCGCACGGGACGGACAAATGGGATAATTCTGGAAAGAAAGAAAATCACTGATTGAATTCAGAGATATACTTGATAATGCAATCAAATTAGACAGCTGAACTATTAAAACCACATTTGAATGTTCTCCTTTCATCCACAAGGAGGTAGTGAACCTTTCTAATTTGAATTAATTATTTTAGCAAGGAATTCTTGATCTCTGGCCTATTTCCAAATGGTTTGTCAAAATGCAATCTTCAACTGAAGATTTCAAATAGAATGCCTCTGTCCCTTGATAGAAAAGTATCCTTTACTGAATGAATGTCTTTCACATAACAGGATACTAATCTCCTATGCACTTTGGCTTAAAGAATACTGCCTCAGGCACAAAACATAAATACATTCAGTGAGAGTTGAATTAAAAACTGCAGAAAGCCCCCAAAACAAAACAGTATTTGGTTTAAGTACTCCAGCATCTGAATTCAAAACTCCCTCCCTAAAAATTTCCAAAATGTGTTCCACTTGAAAGGTTTCAACAAACATTCCCACAGCAAAGTTAGTGCAGAACTCCTGAGGGAAGACATCAGCAGGAGGACACAAAGGAATCTGAAAACCCTCTTTCCCAAAGGTCTGTGATGTTAGCTCCACATTAGCCCTCGGCATGCTCAAGTCAAACATCTCCAAACATCTGAATCAGACTCACTACAGTCTGCAGTTATCTTTCAAATCCTGTGCAACATGGCAGGGGCTTTTTCTCAAGAGCTGAAGTCAAATCTAACTGTCACTGTGCAACCGGTTTGTCACTCATGGCTTGATTTAAAAAAAACAAAAAAAAGTCTTTAAGTTATGGAGGCCAAATAGATCAAAACTTAATACTGCTTCAGCTGTAACAGCACTGGCACAGCTGACTTGCAGTAATTCAGAATAATCATACAAGACAGAGCAGTCCCATACGCTCATGCTTCCTCCCTCACGAGTATTTTTCATATGTAATGCATCTCTGGGCACCTTCACCAACTGACTGACATACAAAATATGCACAGATGTAAATGATTCTGATCGCTTTCCCTGAGCCCAGACCTTCTGACACACTAAACCTCCAGCTGTAGCACCCGGCCGTTTCCTCGCCAGTTGACTGGCACGAATTTTAGACTCACAATACACAAATGGCCTCAAGAAATCCAAAATGGCAACAGGCACAGCTGTCCTAGGGGAACCCTGCAGAATCCTGTGGCACATGTATGCTTTTCAGAAAATGACAGTATACTTTTGGTTTTAGTATTGTTTTGCCTACCTTGGAATAGAAACGCTGATGTTTTAGGCAAAGGAGTAATATGAAGTTCCAGTAAAGCATCTAAAACTGTTTATTTTGCTGGAATGTTCTTCTATAGGAAGGTGCCAAGTACTCAGAAAGTTGTTACCTTGACAGCAGTGGAAAAGGACGATTTTCACCCTCTTCAGAATAACCAGCAAGTAAAATATCTTGCGTCAAGAACTGGAGGACTGAAATGTGAACTATAGTTTACAACCCACTATTCTAACAAACCAAGGACATCTACTACTCAGAAACCCACTTTCTATCTCTCCACTGCACAAGGCCCAGATGGTTGGTTGTTCCTGCCTTCAGGCTCCTGCCACCAGACTTCTCACCATCTGCTTCCACGGGCCACGAGACCACACTGTGTCTCCACTACGGGCCAGTTAAACAGCCAGCTCTGGGACACAGCTGACAGCCACCATCCTTCTGCAAGCTCTCAGACCACTTATATAGCTGCTTACCCCACCGCTGCAACTTGAAACAACTCTGCTTTGACACATCTGAAATACTGCCACAAAAAGCTTGATTATTAGCACCACTTAACAATTCTTGCCATCAGGCAGAAATAGGAAAGACCTGAACGGACCACAGAAACTCAAGACTTCTCTTGCTCATAGGGGCAACTCTGAGCTCCATGAAACCCTGAATCACCTCTGGGGAAGCTCACATGAATTTGTGAGCCCGTGCTTTGGATAGAAGGCTTAGTTTCCAAAACATCCATCCAGGCTGCTTCGCCAGCACTCAGTATCCTTTCACGATATGCAGCTTTTGTTTTAAATAGCTCTAGTGTTAGACGGCTTCCTTAGCCCCTTCCCAGGAAGGGTTCATCCTGCCACCAGACCTACAACATTCAGCTCTTTAGAAAATAATTGTCCTTGTTAAAAAGCAGCCCACAATAACATTTTCTACATATTACTAAGAAACCCATCCATGAAATTACAGTACTCTGGCACCATACAAATGTAGTTTAGCTCTCAGTTGAGCTGAAGGTCCTTATAAAGGCTTCCATTCTACACTCAATGCATTAAAAAGCAGAGCTGTTCTCAGGTGCCACAAATTCTATTAGTTTAAAAACTCTGTGCACTCTTCTAACACAAAATCATGGACTGAAGGGTTTAAGGAGCCCATTCCTGCCTGACCACCTTAAATATTTGTGGTTAGATCTGGCAGCTCCTCTGAAACCAAGCACACACACTTACATTCTCGGTGCAAGCTTGCTGTCTGTAACTGCATACCACTTTGGGAATGGGGAATTCAGGCAAGCGTAACTGCATAATTAGACTAACACACAATCAACCTTTTCATTTTAATGTTACTTCAGAAAAAAAAAAAAAAAACCAACACTTTTCTTCTCTCCTGAGCTCTATGCCATCTTAAATGCACTCAGGCAGAAGACATGCAAGACGACAGGACATTGGTGACAAGATTTTGCTTCCAAGTTACCTTGTCCTAACACAGCATCACAAGAAATTGTGACATGTTGCACAGTGGCTCTGTTGTAGCCCACACAATGCCTGTGACACAGTAGAGTGCTGAGAAGATCTGGCTGACAAAGGTGGCAGAAGATCCCAGCTATGATTACTTCTGAAATTTCTCCTTGAACACCAAAAGTCAGGGTTCTTTTAGGGACAGAATTCACCATGTAGGACTTTGGTGAATGAAACTGTCAAATTTTTTACGAAGACTTTATAAATTATTCTCCACTGCCTGCTTTACAAACAAAACAGAAAAGCAGAGGCATTTGTTAACAAAAATCCCTAAATTTGACAAAGGAGGATACTTCAGGAGGAGCTTAAGCGGATCAGCCTTTGCTCGTAATAGGCTACTGGGATCACTACATACCACTTGAACTGTTGTACTAAAATTTGCATTTTATCATGAAACCGTGAACTAGTTCGTGTTGAAAGTACTGTCTGGGATGGGAGAAACTAAAGGACTCCCATAGGATGTCAGTGAATAGTAGCACATGAATTCATGCTCACACTCCAATTAATTTCTTCAAAAAAAGGAAATGAGAACCTAGCATCAAGATCCCTTTTTCCCCTCGGTGAGAACCCAAGAGCAGCCTCAAAGAGGTTGCAAACAAGCTCGGAGCCCTCCTGTACATTCACACGGCCACAACAGTATCAAGAGTTCCTCTCAGATGGCAAATAAGGGGCTTTTTGAGACCTACTTTGAAATGTCTAGGTAATTTTATCCATTGCAAACAATACTGTAAACAGTGAAAATGTCAATTCAGTCAATTCTGCGTTTTTTGTAAAAGAAAGTGCCTGAAAACCAAGTATCAGAGGAAATAACAAGGATACTTTTACATCAATGAAAAAATCTTCCCTTGCTCTATCTGTTGCTCAGTCACAGGAGGACAGTGATAGCAATAGGTCATCAGGAAGTGAGAAACTAGAAAAGAATGACACTAATTTGATCAGTTTCATTTGGTTTTAATTAAATGAAACAAAAGGGGAACTATCAGGCTGAATTTATTTCAGGCTGGACAGCTTTTTTAGTATTATTGCAATTCACTTACAAATAGATATTTTGGAAACAAATCAAAGTGTTGTATGACACTGATTTTTAAAAATAACCGAGTCGTGTATGATGTTTGCTATTCCTTCACTGTGTGTTCCTCATTCAGGAACAAGGAAAGTGAAGCCAACAAAATATTTAACCTAAATTTCTGATGACTAAATTGTTCTACTACATAAAGAATCCAAGTAGTAAAGACAGACTCACCGTCTTTCCCCGTTATGTTCAAACTTTATCCTTACATCATTCTGCGGGAGAAAGAACAAAAGGTTAGCTCACAATGAAACTCTGGCATACATTATAGCACACAAATGGATCGTAATATGATTTTAAGGTCCAAACACAAAGCAGGTCAATTTGTGATTACAGTTGGCATCAAATCCTCAAAAGGCCAACCAGAACACAACAAGCCTGATAACTTTCTCCATGGAAGCTGAATCAGACCGTGGACAACAAGTGTCTGACATGCGAACACAACACCATGAGGAATAGAGAATCTGCTAAAGGAGAAAAAGAAGGAAAGGGGTAAAAACTAAGTTGTAATTTTTATTAACTGTCACTTAAACAGAGGACACTGCAACATACTTTAAGGAAAATTAATCTAACACTGCACAGCAAAAATCTGAAATTGAGTCCAGCTTCATATTCATCTAAAATGAAGCTTATTTTCTTTGTGCACTCTCAAAGCAAGCAAGTTTTCTCCTATGGCAAAAAAAGAGAAATACAGGGAACATGCAAATTCTTTGTTCTTAAGACACAGACTAAATCTCTGCTTTTGCAAAAATGCAGCCCCTGAAACTCAAACTCTGAAGTTACAAAGAAGTTAACTATGCGTCACCTTTTAAAGTGCAACGGGGTCATCATCCACATCTGGCAGATGGTTAAAAGCACTGACCACACAACCTGTGCAGCTCACTGCAAACTCAGAAGATGCTATGTGGCACGGAAGAGTCAACATGCTGAACTTTCAACTCTGGAGATCGAAGTTCAAATCCCAATTTAGGTCACAAAGATAAAAATAAAAGGGAAAAATCTGCTCTGATAAGACTCTATAATTTCTGCTGCACAATTTATGTGATTGGAATAGATTAAGCCATCTGTGAAAGCCTTAGACAATAGGCAATCATACATCTAGGAACTTCAAAAAAATGTGGCCAGGAAATGCTCTTTAGCTAGAGGAAGTATCTGGCAGGCCTAGTGGTCAAGAATGCAGTTCAAAGGGACCCAGGCAATCACTGTGAGTACAGAGTATTCCTGCAGCAGGACTGTAGGTACAGAACTGATCATGACGAACCAGCTTCCCCACCAGAGCGACAATCAGCTGCAGGTGAGTAATTTACACATACCTTTACCATAGACGTTTTCTCAGACGTGGGAAGAGAAAGAACTTACTCTCAGAATGACACCAAAATGAAGCAAATTCTAGAGAACTCGTTTTAATTGAGCAGTAAAGAAAAAACTGCAACAAACAGCATAGGAATAATAAGCTACAAAAGATGTCCACCAGCCAACTACTGATGAAACAGTTGTTTCTTAGACATAGTAGATGAAGCAATGATCCCTTTATATTAGGATTTCAGGGAAGTAAGGCTCTAGTTTGGTTGTTTTTTTTTTTTTAAACGCTATACTACTCTAAGTAGCCCAGTCTAAGGGAACTAAACAGGACTGTTCAGATGAAATTGAATTAAAGTAATTTTTTGGATTAAATCTCTGACCTCAAGATGTGTTTTAGGTCATGAAACAGCTAAGTGACAAAGCACTCACTAGTCAAAATTAAACAGCACTAAAAGATCCTCAGGGCTCTTTGGAAAACTTTCTTCAATTTGCTGGTACCAAAGCAAACTAAAATATCTTCCTCAACTCTTTTGCATGCTTTCAAACCTGTAATTTGTAACAAAGGGAAGGTCAGAGGGGGATGTGTTGGAATTTGGCATCTGTGTCCTGATGATTTTTCCAAAAGGATCAGACACTGGCCATTTGTGCCTATTTTTCAAAGATCTAAGAAAAGGTATTCAAAGTAATCTTGGTGTTTACATTTCTGAGAGAACCTAGAGGAGTTAAACATCTAGTATTGCTTCCTTTGAAAGCAGTGAACCTATCACCTATATCAACCACTTCTTAAAGCAACTCACACTGTCCTAAGAGATGAGTAAGAAAGCAAATCCAAGTTTAGTACTTTAGTGTTCCAGTTCTGTGACGCAATACCATAAATAATGATTACAGATTTTGATTAAGAGATCTCTGAATTTACATTTCAAAGTGATTTGAAAAGGATTTTGTACTGCTCCATCTACAGATTTGTCCAGCACATTCAAGGAAATCCCAGATCCCAGCTGAACAAGTAGATTATGAGCAGACAAAGCATAAGGAAGAGACAGACGTGAACTTTAAAGCCAGTTCCAAAAAGCTTAAGCCTGTAATAGGAATATAACCAGTTATTTTACTGATATAGGCAACTTTTCCTGTTAATGTTAGTCTAACTGCCAATAACTCAATTTAATATTTTAAGACAGTAATGAACAAACAATTTTTGACTGAAATTGTTTCTTTGGCATTGAAGTATTTCATTCAAATGACCTGCAGCATATACTGACAGAGCAATACTATTCTGTCCTTTCCTACCAGAAAGCCAATACAATAGTTTTCTCTAAGATAGAGTCTCCAGCAGCGTTGAACAAACCTAGAGAGACTTTAAAGTATTGGCCCTGCCACTTACTACCTTGGGAAAAGTATTTCGCTTGGAAAAATGGACTTCACACCCCCATATCCTAATAAGGGTTTCATTCTTGTCTTCATGCGACACAAGACTCCGTAACTCCAGGCAATCCTCCCCATTAAGGACGGTGCCTTTATTCAGACACCTGCAAATAGCTGTTTCCTTTTCCACTGAGTTATTAGTTTCACTAAAGCCAGTCCTTTCAGACAATCACCTTCACTGTCCTTCTCAGATCAACTTCGGTTTGAATACATTTTATCAGGATCTTCATTCTGCATTCACATGCGGTCTGAATCATGTGAAGATGAGACCAGCATTAGTTCATGATCCAACAGACTGCTTTGTGCAGCTTCAAACTGCAGTGGTCTTCTTTTGCATCAGAAATGGAAATACTTGTTTCCTTTTATTCAGTACACTTCTCAGTTCCCTGCTTTGAATTTAAGTATTATTTCCACTACAATGAAAAGTGCATCATACCGCTACATCTTGACAGAGTCAGTAAAGAAAAGCTTTCCTGGCCTCCCACACCTGCTTAAATAAATTCTGTAAAGGTCATTGCACACAACTTTAGCAATTATAAATTAGAAGCATGTTTTAATATTGAATAGGAAACCAGTTTTCTTACCGGAATTTTTTTTTCTTCCACTGCAGAGGCACACTGGTTTGTTATTGCAGGGCTGCCCAAGAGGGGTGGACTGCTGGCATTGTGTTTTTTCTTTAAAAATAATAAAGTCGTTTAAAAAAAAAAAAGGCAATATGATTGTGAACCCAGAAAACCACGCAGTAAGCTTTTTAGCTAGTCTACACACACCAAACCCAAACATATGGGAGGGAGGTAGAATACTAAGATGTTGCAAATTATCAAAACTGCACCCTCCCTAGTCCATAAAGGAAGGTAAATAAAAAAGCTACCAGGTTGGCAACACAGCCTGAGCAAGAAAAGTGGGATAATGCTTCAGCAGTCAGAAGCCCAAGACAAAACAGAGGTGGCAGATCCACTGTCAACCTACTCTCTCCCATCCGCCTCCAGGTAACAATTTCAAGTACTCACTAAATGGCCTACTACCTGTTTGTTGGAGTGAGCAGTGTCTTTATTCTTCATGGTATCATATCCAGTCAGTCTGTGACGTCGGCTCATCTGGAGTGCTACCAGGTCCTTCATGATGGATTTCAAGGCCTCTTGTTCATCTGTGATGCACAGGAATTTTAGTAGTAAGTTGCCTGGCTGAATAGCAACCGTAACACTTCCACACCTGTTTTCTGCTGGCTCATAGAAAGACAATCCTTTTTAGGATCTCTGCAAATACACTGTAATTTCTTTTAGTCATAAAAAGCCCAAACTCAATCTACTATCATGAAGCAGTAAACAGATGGATAAATTTTAAGTCACTTGCCCAATGTTATAGAAGGATCTGGCCACAGTAAGGTTGAGAATAAATATCCCCAGCCCCTGGTTCTGTTCAAATTGCTTCACAACAAACAGTGCAACTTGGACAGATTTGCTGGATCATCATAGGTCATTTAGGAAGGGCAAACTGATGTGTTTCTGCCAAGGAAAACCCAGTAAGAATCTGTTCTTTCCAATTTTATATCCTGTTAACTAAGAATTCTTGCTTGCTGGCGGAACAAACCACGGCCAGTAGAAAGACAAATGAAAATCTGGACAAAGTCATCTTAGAATATCTCTGAATTCAAATCCACTTGCACTGATTTTCCCAGCACATTCCTCTCTTCCCCCAAAACAAGCTGATGGAACAAAGTTCAAACCATTTTATGAGACTTCAGGATCTACTGAGCAGATTCAAATTGCATAGCATTAAGAACACTGTCTGCTGGCAGAGCATAATGCAGCAGGTTCAAGGCTTCTTGCAAATGCAGGAAAATAAAAAAGCACACATTGAAGTATTTCTTATACGTAGTACTGACTGAAAATTACTTTCTGAAGCTAAGATTTCTGATGTAACCATTTAAAAATGTTCTTCCATTGCTTGTTAGTTTTGAGGAGAGAAGCGATACTTCGCAGAACTCTAAAGCCTAGAAAAAAATAAAGACAAAAAAAGGAGAGAAAAGCGTAGTAGTTTGGCCGGGATGGATGCTACCATGAAGTAAGAAGGTGTCTAAAAGCTACTGAAAATAATGCTTTGCTTTTGCAAGCATAACAATCCTCAATTCCTTGATACTGCAAAAGGTAGAAAACATTGGCATGTGAAGTCTGGTTCAAAACGGAGCTGCAGTAGCCAGTTTGATCCCAGGCATGGTGCCACCAGCGTTACAAAGCAGCATCAGCTGCTACCACTCATGATCTGCTACTGGCACACTCATGCCTACTGTATTGCTGGGCTGTTGTCTCACATAGCAAGACTCAAAGAGTTTTTAGAGATAAAGTGCTGTTTCCTTGGCAAATAAGTCCAGTTAAATCCCTCCTGATAGCAAGGCATAATTTAGGCATGAAATCTGAACCAGAGATTAGATCAGCCCTGAGCATGCCCAGAAGAAGAATCTTCTAAGTGAGTCTGGTTGGACTTGACCGCCAGTTTGCATGTAAACTGGGGGGCTTTTTATTTGACAACTGAAACTTCTGGAAGAGACATGACCCAGTAAACACACAGACAAGGCTATCACATCTCTACTTGTAGGACAGCGTCAGGTGCACAGTGCTTGATATGCCAGAGTCCTCCTGTCTTCCCAAAGTCCTTAAACACAACGGTTTGACATGCTTAGATTGAAATGAGTAGTTTTGGGGCTATCTGTAAATAACTAAAACTTGATTTTAAAAATCCAGTATAGCTACACATTTGTTTCTGCCTCATGACACTGGTTTGGATGGGTAATGGCTGATATTTGGAAGTGGTGTCCTGGGAACAGTTGCTGTACATTAAATGACAGACTGTCTCACATCTGTATTTCTCTGTAAAGGGGACTCATTGGGACTATTTGTTTCTTCAATTACATGTTATGCATTTGTTCCTGACTGCATCTCAATGAAGCTTATGTTTTATGCAGAAGACTGGGTTCATAATTAATCAATGTCTGAAAAACAAACTAGATTTTCACAATGCTTAAAGATGACAGATGTGAGGCACATACAGCTTCTAAAGCATGCAGGGAGCAAATGTTATCAAAATTGAGAAGCAAAAGGGGGAAATATACTTATTTGTAAGGGCATGACATCTAAAAATGTCGGGAGTCAGGACACACTAACATTATCTTTGGTTCAACCAAATTTCTGCCCAGACGGTCTGTTTTAGCTTTCTAGGAGTACTAAACACTAACGCAGAGGTACTTCCATTATGGTTTTCACTCTGTACCACCAGAAAAAGAGACATCAAGCCTAGGCCAGATGATAGAGGGGAATGGAAAGAAATCTCCCAATGCATTTGCAGAAGGTGTTAATTAGAGTAAAACTCTTAAAAAATGAAAGCAGAGAAAATAAAAGTTACTTAAAAACCCCAAATCAAAACCCACCAAATCTCTGCTGTCCAAGACAAGCCAAATGAGACAATAACTACATTGTGGTAGTGGAGAAGGGAGAGCACTCCTTGAAATTCCAACTGCATGCAAAAGAAGCAAGGGGTGTAAGTAACACAACCAAAGCAAGAGGTTGCTTTCTTGAAACGCACATCAGCCAAAGGAAATAATTGCTAGGTTCTATCTCAGCGCTAAGTAACCCCTTGTGGGAGTAAAATGTGAAAAAACAGTTGTGAATGAAGTTAAAGTTCCAGGTAGCTAACAGCAAAACATTTTTTTTTTTTAAATTATTTCCAACTTTACATTTGAACGTTTAACCTTGTACCTTACTGGAGTGTCTCCAATTCACTCTTATTTTTTAATCTTGTTTGATATTTGAGTCACCTGGCAGACAAAGACTATAACTTTGCACAACAAAATATGGACTGGCATATCCCTGGAGCGCCTACCACCCAAAACATGCTGTGAAGAGCTGGGATACAAGTTTTCCACTACAGTGCACTTTGGGTTTGGCCAGATACCAGGAGGATGAAGAGGAGCTTGTCTTGGCAGAGTTCCTCTGGGCAAGAAGCAAAACAGCTATGAAAGCAGTTTATAACTAAGCACTCATGACAAGAAATCAAGTCAATCAGAGAATGCATCTCTGAAAAAGAATCTGCATCTGCACAGCATGGCATATCACTTGAAAATAAGGATCGATGGTTACAAGGCAATCATCTGCTACAGGTGTTTGATCCCAAAGCCCAGGCTGTGGATAAAGTCTGCTGCTTTACGGCGTCTCGTTTGCATGAGGAAGTGGGCAAAGAGGATGGGCACCTAACCAATTACGTATCTCTAATAAAGACTGCAGCTCAGCTACGCAGCGAATTTATTTATTGGCTGAGACAACTTGTGCATTTACAATATGCTAAGACATTACACTCTTAAGGACAGCATCTGGCAAGCATCTAAACCCCAGTTAGTGCACTGCGAGGTCTGTATCTCACTGCAAACTGTCTCCTCTGTAGACAAGTACTAATGCTGCAACCTTACTTGCATCCATGCAAAAAAAAGACAGCTGATGGAACAACTCCAGGTGAATTTGGATCCTATGCGATTATGTATTTTTATTAGTTTTAGACTGAGCTATTGGCTCACTAGTACCAAAACATACATTCTGTAATTCATCCCTATGCTGCTAAGATAGGAAACGATGGTGTATTTATCTTTTTAAAACATAAACCAAACATCAAATATTGATCTGAGCTTGCATAGGGAAAAAATGTATCCAGTTAAGATAGCACTGTGACAGATTTAATGTCGAGAAGCATGAATACCTCTTTATTTCCATCAAGATAGAGAATTTCCATAGATTGACTTTAAAGAAGCACGTGCAGCAGCATCACATTAATCACACAATGGAAAAGTTATTACAAATGAAAACTAAGCAATTTTTGAAGCGCACTGAGAGACCCTGTTTTGCTAGGTCTCCAGTAGGTCTGGGAAACACAGTTCTGCTTTGTGCAGGAAAGATGTTGTCCAGGAAATGCTTTTCATGTTTTAAAAACTACACTCAAGGATTTTTATAACATCGATAAAAGGGAACTGCTACTCACAGAGAAAGCTATTCCTCTGCATAAAGCATTTATTTCAACTAATACATGGTTTATTACAGGGGTCTGTGCAAGTCAGTGTATTTGCTGTGGCAGAAGTGGAAACAGTTTTGAAAAAAAATCACGAAGTTCAAACAGAGTAAAAGCATCTGCATGCTGGTAAAAACAGGAAGTCTGTAAACCCCTATAAACCAGGATGCTATTTTATATAGCATGATAATAGAAGACATGATGCCATATTTGTTTAAAAAAGGAAAAAGTGAACAAATAAGCATGTGTTTGTTCTCTGCCACCACACTAGCAAGTTGGTTGCCTGTATGAATGATCAGCAGACCCAGGGGCAATGAATAAATTTCACAAGGAAGGCAAACTGAGTCTGTGTTAAAGCTCTGAAAAAAAAGCTTTTGAAAAAGTTTAATTTTGAGTCCTTCATAACATGCCATCAAATGAAACACTGGGTTTTGTGACAGTAGTAAAAAAATGCTGTTCTGCACAATTTTTAGGAATTGCACATGACCTGGTTTGTAGACTTAAAAGAAAAAGCAGAGGTTCTCTACGAACTGGATCCACATGGTATATATTTGGGGTAGTTCTCCTCTCACACAAATTTAAGAGATTAGGATTTAAGCTGGTCCTAACCTGTAGGCTTAGCCCTGCTCCCCTTCCTGCCAGCGCACCGAGGGTGTCACTACCGATAAAGCCAGAGCTCGGAGCTGGGCTTTGAGTGCGTGTGTGAGCCAGGGGAAGGAAGTGACACAGGCAGGAAAAAAGAGCAGATCGAGGGAAAGACTCAACTGCAGCTGGGCCCGCAGCACGCTCTTCGTCTAGGCCTGCCACACACCACCCAGGTATATACGTATTTCTCTGTATTAGAAGCAAGTATTGTATTTTAAACACTGTCAAGGAGGTTTCTGTAGGAAGATAACCCTCAGTCATAGCCTCTTCTGTAAAGCGCCCTCAGTGAGCTTCAGCTGCACCAAAGGACTTAAGACAAAATGCAGTATTAAGCTCTTACTGCTAACCAGCCCACAGATCCTTTCTAGCTAACAAAAAACAAGATGGAAGAAAAGTAGAATGTGATATAGCCTGTTACCCATTACCCTTTCGATGATTTGATCCCTAT